ACGGTATTGTTGGAAGGTGGCAGTGATGCTGGTGGAAGGTGGTGGCAGTAATGTGGTGGTGGTGGAATGTAGTGGAGTTAACGGTGGTGGAAGATGGTGATGGTGTTGGAAGGTGGTGACGGTAGTGGTGAAAGGTAGTGGTGGTAGTGGAAGACAGTAACGGTGGTGGTGGTGGAAAATGGTGATGGTGGTGTTGGTGGAAGAAGGTGGTGGTGGTTAAAGGCGGTGGTGCTGGTGGAAGGTGGTGACAGTAGTGGAAGGAGATGGCACTTGTGATGGTGGAAGGTGGTGGAAGGTGGTGGAAAGTGATGGATATGGTGGTGGTGAAAGGTGGTGGCAGTGGTGGCGGTGGTGCTGGTGGAAGGTGGTGACAGTAGTGGAAGGCGATGGCACTTGTGATGGTGGAAGGTGGTGGCGGTGGTGGAAAGCGATGGATATGGTGGTGGTGAAAGGTGGTGACAGTGGTGACGGCGACGGTGGTGGAAGGTGGCTGCAGTGATGGAAGGCGGTGGAGCTGGTGGTGGTGGTAGTGGAAGGTGGTGACAACAGTGGAAAGCGGTGGCGGTAGCATTGGTGGTGGTGGAAGTGGTGGAAGGTGATGGCGCTGGTGATGGTGGAAGTGGTGGAAGACGGTAGTGGTGGTGGAAGTGATGGAAGACGGTAGCGGTGGTGGAAGGCAATGGTGGTGGTGAAAGATGGTGGCGATGGTGGTGAAAGGTGGCGACAGTGATGGAAGGTGGTGGCGGTGGGAGACGGTAGCAATGGTGAAAGTCGGTGGCAGCAACGGTGGTGAAAGGTGGTGGTTGTGGTGAAAAGCATTGTGAAAGGCGATGGCGGTGGTGGTAGTGGTGGTTGGGGCAAATGAAGGAAGTGTCGGTGGTGAAAGGAGGTGGTAGTGGTGGTGGTGGTGGTAAGTGGTGGACGATGGTAAAAGTCAGTGGCGGTGGTGGTGGTAGAAGGCGGTGGTAGTGGTGGTGGTGGTGAAAGGCGTTGGTGGTTGTGGTAGAAAGTAGTGGTTTTTAGACTTGGAACATGAATGTCTTTTGGGAAGTTGATTTTTTTAAAAAAAAATTACTTGTAAATGGAATGGTCATTCCATAAGTTTAGTTGTGGAATGAATTTTCATTCCAATGGAAATGACCATTCTCACTTTAAATTGCATACTAAACAAATGAATGGTTGGAATGGGCATTACATTTTATTCTATTCCTGCACACCAAACGTAGTATTAGTGTTATGTTTGGTTGGAGGGAGGAATTAAGGATGAGAGATGGGATAAAATAACTTTTCCGTGTTTGATTGGAATGTTGGAAAAGATGGAGGATGCAAAGAGGCTCCTTTGTATTTTTCTGTCTGTCCAAAATTGGGACGAAGAGGATATGGAAAAAAGTAATAACTGTTCTATTTCTAACCTTCCTAAAAAATTGGAATATATATAGAATTTTTAGAATTTTTAAAAATAATAAGGGTATATTAGTACAAATAATATAAAACTTATGTTTCTTTTCCTTCCGATTAAAAAAAAAAAAGGACATCTCAACCATCATTTTTATTATCCATTCAATTCAACCAAACAAAAAGTGAGAGAGACACATTCCCTCTACTAAGAATATCTCATCCATCTCTTCCTTCTCCCTTTCATCCCTCCAACCAAATGAAGCATAAATATTTACGATGTATTAGTTTATATAATGAAGTTATACTAATAAAATAATGGATAAATTACACATGATCAAATTGTTAATGGATAAATTACACATAATCAAATTGTTGTTAGAAACTGGAGGACATGCGATGGTGCTTCTTAAGTAGGGATGGCAACGGGGCAAGTTTGGAACGGAGTTTGCTAAACCTTATTCCGCCTTATTAAAAATCATCCATACTAACTCCACTCTTATTTCGGGACGGGTTTTAAATTGGTATAATATCTTCGCCTCGATGGGTTAAATGGAGTACCGGTTCCGTCCCATTATCTCTTTTAACGGCGGGATGGGTACGAGACGGATTATACCAATTTTAGACAAAACTAGCCCAAATTTTTGTTGACGAAATCGCCACATCACCTGTTTATGTGGCATCTCCTTGACAGATTCTCCGTATCACCTGCTTATGTGGCACCACCTCTCTCAATAGGCACACCTGGGCAGAATCTGTCTGGCGTGTCATTGAGAAAAAGGGAACAGTAGTTCTGGGCTGCTCATCCCATAACTGGAAATACTGGCAAGGAAGGGGTCGCTACCCTTCACTCCTTTAAGGACGTACCCCTCTCCAATCGGATGGGTCCCTCCTCGTTATATTATTACAGCTCAAGGTCCCTTCCTGCAGACAGGACCTCGGGCGCATGATTACCTCTGTTACCTCGAGCCACCCTCGTCCTGAATTTGAGAGGACCTCGAAGTCTGACCACCTCGAATTCCCGATCTGGGATCTGAAGGAAATTCGAGGACCAATGTCTGATCACCCCGAGCTCTTCCCACTCTGAACTAATAGGAGTCTCGGGGGACCATAATTTGAACTGGATCTCGCGAGGTCGAGAAGGCAATACCTTGAGGAGATCCATTCTTTACTTTCAAATTCGGGAGTATGAGGAAGTGTGGACAGGTGGCTGGGATTCAAGGGTTCGCCTTTCGCAGGCCAACGATACCCAAGGTCGAGCTCTAGATGGGACTAAAAGAGGCTATTAATTATGAAAGACAGCTGACATGACCTGTATTAATGAGGGAGCGCCATTTTCCCTTTAGACTGGGGGGCAAAATAGCTTTTCTCCTCTGGACTGAAGGGGGAAGGTACCTCCACCCGATGAGCAATGTCCCATCTGTCAGAAGGAGGGGTCCTCGACCCCTCGGACAAGAAGGAATTCACCTCTATAACTGACGGATATTGACCGTTCGGAAGCATTATAAATAGGAGAAGTTAATTAACCTTAAAAGCAGAGTTAAGAGGTTCTCAACAACCAATCACCGCCGAGCTCGAACTTACTGGGTATCGCCATACATTGCCTTCCCTTTCTCAATCCCTGGGTTCCAGGGAATCCTTTGTGTTGCTTGGGTCCGCACTTGGATACTGATCTCAGCACTCCCGGCTCACGTGGAATATAATCCTCATCCTACTCACGAACTACCATCAACAATTTTTAAATAAATAAATAAAGAAAAGACCTACTCGTACTAGTTTATGACTTTCTTACGCAGTTTATATGTAGATATTATGCGTCTCAGAATTGATGATAACCGTGTCATGATCATAATGTTACTTGTATATTAAGCGGTGTTTCTGACCTTCTTACCCAGTTTATATGTAAAAATCATGCATTTGAGAATTTGAAATTACCAGCTAATGTCTTATTGCTTAAAGGAGTTGAGATTATGCCTTATATATATAATCAATCAAAATTTCAAAACTCACATAAACATATGGGAAATCCACAAGTATAATTTCAATTCAAAATTTTTCTTTAATCAATATAAAATAAAATAGTCAAAAAAAAAAAACGTCTTGGTTCAGATTACAACGTTGACCATCTATGATAGTTAGTGAAGTGAGAGATGGGTCAATTTATTACACACATATAACTAAAAGGGAGATAACTATAATTATTCAAAATACATGGGAGCTAAGTATAATAAATCCTAACTATAAGAAAGATAAGTGTAATTTTTCCTAAAAAATACATTAAGTCTATTTCCCTTCATTCTTACCCAGTAAAGAAAAGTGTCCCCTTGTCACCTTTTTTAAAAATAAATTTTGTAATTTAAAATAAACAATTCAATTTTAAATAAAATTTGTAATTTTTTTTATAAGATAATCAAATATTTAACAATCATAATAATGAATATATTTTTAAAATTATCAAAAAAAATAAAGGAAAAAAGTTGTAGTTAATATAATAATATTTATTTATATATTAATTACTCCTTCCGTCTCAAATTAAATGTTTGAGAATCTAACTTTTTAATATGATGGATTTAATATATATTTTTTTTGTTGTATTGGTACTTTGGTAGTGAATGGATTACTAAATATGTTCATCGTGGATCCACATGATGTGATGGCTTACTTTTTATAAGTTCAATGTAAAAATGTTAAATTAATAATAATATAAAAAATAGTACTTTTAACTTTTCAAATGTGATATTTATTTTGAGACAACAAAAATGAAAATGTAGACATTTAATTTGAGACGAGGGAGTATTAATTAGGTTAATTAAGAGCTTTTGCGAATTTTGTGCTATGTTTGGTAGGAAGAAAATAAGAGGTGTGGAGACAAAATAGGAATAAAGGAAGTTCGATAAAGATGATACCCATCCTTCCTCTTTTACAAATATTTATCCGTCAAAAACTAAACGGGAAGAAAGAAGGGAAAACAAGTGCATTATTATAGAAGTTTTAAATTAAATAGTATCATAAATTATACAACTTTTAAATGACAGTACCATACTCTATAAATTACAATATTATAAATATTATTGAATATAATAATGGTAAAAATAATGAAAACTTTCTCCTTTCTTCTCTCTTAACTAACATAGTAAATTATGACTTTATTTTCTTATCTTTTTTTATCTAACTGAATAAAATAAGAAAATACACAATCTCTTCCTAAGATGTTTTATCCATCCCTTATTCTTTCCCTTCCATCTAATTTTCTATCTTCTTTCATATGGAACAAAGTGTTAAACTATTTTCTAAACTCGGCCTCCAATCAAATTAGGATAACGGGACGGGACGCGATGAAATGGGTTAAATAGTTTAATACAAAATGCTAATTATGATTTTTATTTTTTTAATACATTAGATAAATTCAAGTGTAATTTTTTTTTAAAGGATCCAAGTGAATTTAAGAAATCTATTAAAGAATTGTTTTTCTTATTAAAATCATATATATTTTGTTCCTTTTTGAGTATATTTTTTAAATTTCACTTGACCAGATTCCAATTCACATGCTGACAAGAGTACCACCTTGAAATAATGCAGACAATTGAGAAATTGAGACTATTGTACCCAACCAATTGCAACAAGACAAGACTCTGTTTGGATGCCCGGAAAATCGGGGGAAGTGAGAATCACCTGAGTATAGTAATTAACAGCAACGGAGTAAAAAAAGGAAAGGGATAGTAGTTTTTTACACAATCAACCGATTAGATACAGAGTATTTTGTTCATCAAGTATTACCAACAAACGTTCATCAACCTCTCTACCAGGTGTCCTCGTTCATCCCCTCCCTATCTCTCTGAAATAGAAATAGAAACAGAAATAGAAACCATAGCCAAGAATCGAGAGAAGCTAGGCTTTGTCGATATACACACAAATATATATATATATATATATATATATATAATCTAGAGAGAGAAAATGTCTCAGAACGGCAAATTGATGCCGAATCTAGACCTAAAGAGTACCAAACTCCTCAACTTAACCGTTCTCCAGCGAATCGATCCATTCATCGAAGAGATTCTCATCACTGCTGCTCATGTCACCTTCTACCAATTCAACATCGAGCTCAGCCAATGGGTTAGTCAAATCCCTAAACCTCTTATGATACATAAATGTATATGTTCATATAAAAGTTCCGTGATTGCTCTATTTATGTATGCGATTCATGCATTTGCAGAGTCGCAAGGATGTTGAAGGATCTCTGTTCGTCGTAAAGAGGTAAAGATTCGATCTTTCAATAAAAAAGGGTTTTCAAAAGGTTGGGTTTGTGGGTTTAATTTTAAAGGGTTCGATGAATTTGGTGTTGGTTTTGCATTCACAATGTTTTTACTCGGATTCAATTTAACTGGATTATCTTGTGTAGAGTAGTGTAAATTGTGAATTTTTAGATAAAGCTCTTTTTGGTGGCTATCTCAGGAATACACAACCCCGATTCCAGTTTATTGTAATGAACCGGAGAAATACAGGTTAGTACTTCACATTTTGATCTATATTCTTTTTATATTATATAGTTGTACTCCATATAGAGAATAGTGTGGATTTGTGAATGTAGTTTGACAGAAAGATGTTTTGGTTTATTTTTCCTCTACTGTCAATAATAAACTTAAATTATTATGGGCATTAGATATGCATCAAATCATTGTATTTGGGAATGTACAAAACATAAGAGGAAAATTGCCTAAATATTAGACACTCGAGCTTGAATCAGAGAACGAGCGAGGTAGTCACCAAAAAAGAACAAGGAAATTTAATTTCTAAGTATGTTTCTATGACCTTTCTTTAGTCACTATACATTACAGACATAGTCAAAATAGATGCTACATGTTGTAGCGCTTCGTTTGGCTTTGTTTGTCGTAACAATCATTTGTTCTCAAATTTGAAAAATTTAGAAACGATGTTTCAGGTGACCTCAAATGGAACTTGATATGAGTAATGGTATGTTCCCATATTAAACGAAAGGAGTTGAGGGTATGTTCCCATAGCACGATACGTGCTAATTTCCACTCTTTAGGATTTATTTGACCAGAATATTCTTGTTCTTTCAAACTCAAAATAATTGAAGACAACCTTGTACTTTAACTCTTCTCAAAATCAGCCCCAAAAATCAAATGATCATTGTTTTTGTCCAACCATGATAGATACTGTAAGTATATTTCCCTTGACTTAGTTTATCGAATGCATCGTGTTTAACATCAATGAATCAAAAGATCGAGATCCTCATCTTTTATAATGAAAAGAGAGAACCTTAGATTTAGTTCTCAATATGACTCTAGTGTCTAAAGATATTGCGTAACTTAAAGGGGCCTCATTAACCTCTCTGTTGTGCAGGGGTTTGAGACTTTAGACAAGTTGAAATAATCATGCACAGTTTTTTTATTGCCCTTGGAAATTTAACATTTTCCTAGAAGTTCATATGATGCTTTTCATATAAACATGCTCCTTCAATTGCATTAAAAGGTGTCAATATGTTTGCATGAGCCAGATAATTTAGTGGAGAATCTCTTGGGAGATTTTGAATATGAAGTCCAGGTTCCGTATCTATTATATAGAAATGCATCCCAAGAAGTAAATGGTATATGGTTCTACAATGCACGCGAATGTGAAGAGGTTGCAAATCTCTTTAACAGGTACTATTGTTCTCCTACAACTTCGGTTTTTTCTAATTCTTATATATAGATATTACTTCGGTAATACATTCACACATTGCGACTCATTAGATAGAAGCTTAAGAATGTGCTTGCTTGATATCTTTGGTCGACAATGAACTTGATGGGCTCATGTTGTCTATTGACTTAAGTCGGTGGCTAGAGGAGCGGTGTCTTCTAAATTTATGGAATTAATGCCAAACATGATTATATAATAAAAATAATATTGATTTGTTACTTAAGTACTTCCATTATTCATGTTTTGTGCATGACCAGGATATTGAATGCATACTCCAAGGTGCCTCCAAAGTCACAGGTATCATCTACTAAAAGGTAATAATTTACTCATGCTCTTTGATAATAGATAAAGTTATGTTCTTTGCAGTGAAAAAAGTGTAGGTCGTTTCATTTGTTAGTTTTTGTATTTTGTGGTTGATTTCAAGATCGGTTTTGGCGATCTTACTTGGGTAAATATAAAACGAAGTGGATTGAATGACATGATTAAATGGAAAGTGGTCCCTATATGTTTGCTTTGGTGCATTAGGAAGGGATCAAATAGGATTTTTAAGAACCAAGATCTTCCAATTGCTAAGCTCACAATAAATTTTGTCCAATGGCTCTTCAGATGGCCGTCTCTTATTGTATATGGTGTTAGATACTCTTTCTTTGATTTTATTTGTTGTTGCTCTTTGGCTGTAGCTATAACTAGTAAAATCTACTTAAACCTACGTAAAGTCTATGTCATTCTTCTTTAAATTTGCTATTTGTTGAGTATCTTGGGCACTCAATCACATTTGATGCACAAAATAGGTCCCAATTTACCCAAGTTCCAATTTTACTGAGACTTGGGAACATTTTATTTTCCAATTTTGACTTCCAACCTTCAGTTTTCTTGCTTAAGAGGTTTCTGATTGGAACATGTTCATACCTCCTCTTTTCTCCTGTCAATATTTTCTTAATTTGGGTGATGTGATTATGTTTGCTTCCGTTACGTGTGCTTCTCTTTGTTTAGAACACATGCAGTGTCACTAGTTCAGTGTCTCTGCTGCTGCTTTAAGCATCAAGGTGATGATAGAGATCTACATGTCCTATGTTACCTGAACTCAAGTATGTGAGTCAGATGCGGATACATATCCAAGCATTAGACATATCAAATTTCCAACTAGAAGGACACAGGGACACTATTACATATCATATTATCATATACTTTTATAAATATAATAAAGTAGTTTTTTTTTTCCGTAGTTGTTAACTCATACAACCCCCCCCCCCCCCCCCCCCCCCCCCCCCCCCCCCCCCAAGGAATTGTTTGCACCAAGAGGGTTCGAAGAATAAAATAGTTTCTTTATGTTACATAGTAATTAATATAGGCTTTTCACTTGTTTTGAAGCAATAATATATTAAAATTGAATAATTGGATACGCTTTTTAGGTGCATGTCCAACAAAAAATATCGGACACATATTCCACACCAAATCTGAGTATTGTGTGCCTTCACCTACTTTGAAGAGTCCATGTAATATAAATTCCAGCTCTCATTATAAAACTGGTGTGCTTTTTATTTATTATCTTCACGTTGTGCTGTAATCCGTTTTTAAATGTCATTCCCTCTATTGTGTGCTTTGGCTATTTCTAGAAAGTTGAGACCTGTGACACAACTTAAGTATCAGTTGCTATCAATTTTTAAAAAGATATATTCTATCTCTGCTTCACTGCAGTGAGTTTGAAGAACTTGAAGCAGTCCCAACTATGGCGGTAATGGAAGGTCCTCTGGAGCCATCATCATTGACCGCCTCCAATGTCACAGATGTTCCTGATGACCCTTCATTTGTGAACTTTTTCAGTGTACGTATTTTTCTAAGGAGTATCCATATACATTTGATTTGATTATTTATTTATTTTTTCTCAAAGAGGTGTTGCCCCAGATTTCCTGATTTGCCATCTTGAAGGTTTGAGCTCTTTGCACTCTACTAGCCATTTAATTGACTCATTCAAAATTAGACATCTAGTCTATGAAGTAGTGATTTAGCTTCCCTGAATTTAATTTCAACGAAAGTTCTTCACTGTAATTAAGTTTCCCTTTTATTGTGACATGTGAGTTTTCAATTTCCATTGTACTCAGGGCCATGCATGTGTATGTATATGTATTTCTATTTTAAGCTGATAAAGATACCTCTTATATGACCTGGTAAAAGGACCTTCATTTAAAGCAGTGCTTCACATATTTCCAAGCTCAAATTATTCTGGATTGAAATCATATTTTTATGATCCTCTATCTCTCTCTCTCTCTCTCTCTTTTGTGTGTGTGCGGGTGAGTGACTTATTGTTCATACAGAATGTTCTTCGGCACAAGCATACATCGTTTCATGAATTAATTTTATAAAGTCATTATTTTCAATATGTTTAGGGACAGTAACTGTAATCTTGTAGTCACCGTGACTGAATACTCGAACCATATTTTTACAGGCAGCTATGAATATTGGGAGTGCTTCAAACGCAGCAATGACTGGGCTGCCTTACCAGTCCTCTGCATCAATCCCTCCTTCCCATTCACCCAGTGTTGTTCCTCCCACTCTTCCAACCATCCAGGTAATATCTCCGCCTCTGCCAACATCTACCCCAATGCCACCCAATGATACTCCTGAACCCAGCAGCAGCAGCAACCGGGCCACTAATCTTGTAAAGCCATCTATATTTTTTGGTCCTCCATCCTCTTCTGCGCTTATGATGCCTCCTGCTCCATCCATGCCTACTGCTCCTCCACTTCATCCTATTGGGAATCTACAACGTCCGTATGGTTCTCCATTGCTTCAACCTTTTCCACCACCTACCCCCCCACCATCTCTTACTCCAACTCCTGTTCCTACCACAAACTATGGGCCAGTTATTACCAGAGAAAAAGTCCGCGAATCACTTTTGATGCTTGTTCAGGTATGTTTCTTCTGACCTTCCTAATCATTCAGCTGTATATTCTTTTTGTCCACTTGGTTTCCAACTGGGTTTGCCCATCGAATTAATGGATGCTTGTGGTTGGGAAATTTAGTTTTGTATGCACTGTCAAGCGCCTGAAGCTATTAATAATTAGTAATGAAATTATTGCATGTCTCTAATTTTATTCCTTTTTGATAAGGTTTTTTTTATTTGGATAAGTAAATAAATTTGATGAGAGTGTACCGTTGAAAATCATACTTCCTTGTTTTACAACGTCTTGTTTCACTTTTCCTATTAGCCTCTTTGGAATATCCACATACTATAAATGGTTTGATTTGCAATCAACTTAGGAAAATCAGGTTGCTTATCCAAGGTTTTTACGTGAAGTTTGCAAGGTGGACAAAATCTTATCAAGAGTGCACATTTAAGGAGTTTAGGTATCCAAAGTCGGGGGATAGTATTGAAATGGAATCTGGGGGTGGGATGGCTGGGCTCAATTCTTGTCTTTGCTCCCTCCTAGCATGGTATTCTTATTTTTGGCACTAGCCCTGACAACAAGCATCTGTAGGCTAATCCAAAAAGCTTATAATTTTTCTGACTTTTTCTTTAAATCTTTCGTGATGGAAGAAAGTAAATTAGTTGCAGAAAAAAAGTGAAGGAAAAGAAAGTAAATTGGATTGGATATGTGCGACTTGCCTATCAAAAAATATATATATATACACATACACACAATGTGCTAGGAATAAGAATGTCTAAGTTGGATTTTGTATTAGCAATCATAACTTCTCAATGCTAGAAAAAAGCCTTCACCAAACAATGGTTGGATTTTACTCTAAAAAGGAATAATAGCAGTGTGCTGTGGAGGATGATTACTTAATTCTTAGGACAGTGCAGTTTTTTTTTGTAGTTGTCTTCTGTATTGACTTCATTTCTCCTACAACTGCAGCTTTTGATTCATCTCTCTGAATAAGTGTTGTGATCCTTTCTACGATTTGATGTGATATGAAATTAATAAGTATTCATTCATTGATGGAAACTGGATTAAGTGATGCGTGTTTCATATAGTTGTGTTTGATCAATAAAATTAAAAATCTAATTGCACCTGGTAATTGTTTGATTCCTTTGCCCATGCATTACCGTTAGGGATGGAAAAACTTTCCTCATCCGATCGGTGTCATAGCTGTCTTTAGGCTATCATCCTTTATGAATATCATGAATGAGTGAGATGCTACCATTGTATGTTCTGCACATATCTAAATTTAGTGCTCTACTCTATTTTTGTGTGTTTATTTTCCTTAATTTTCTGTCATTGGCTATTTGTTTGTTAGGACAATCAATTCATTGACATGGTTTATCGGGCGCTGGTGAACGCGCACAACTCCTGAGCATATGAAGAACCAGCACTGCTTCGTGGAATTTCCATTGTCCTGCGAAGAATGAAGTTTTGTCTATTTTGTAGATTTTTTGGCAAACTACGAGATTGTGTGAAGACCTATAAAGTGTAGCAACATATTTCACCAGCTAAATAGAAATACATGAATTTATGTATTGAGATATATAACATTGTAATTGTGGTCACAAAAATATCTCCCATGGTAGGCATGCCAATTCAAATTGAGACGGGTGTTGGGTTTTTTCAGGTATTCAAATTTTATCGAGTCCAAGGAGGATGGTGCCCTTCAAATACTTCAAAAGTTTAAAGTTCCTTAAGTTTGCTGGCACACAAATTTGATAGTTAAAAATTTCATGATCTTCAAAATACTTTTTTGAAGTTCAACGACTCTCGACCCTATCGAGATATGAGCGAATGGTCGTGAACGTCACTTGATTTTTCATCCTATGTTAATCCTCTATGCTTTTTTTTCTCTTTACTTTTTCTCTCTAACATAGAGCCAATTAATCCAACAATTCTCATCCTTGCATTTATTCTCACGTATTTTTATCCCATTCTCTAAAAAATCAAAAACTAATTTTCTTTTACAATAGACCATTCTGTGAATGAATTTTGCCGAGGAGAGAGAGAGGAAACAAACGTTGGAACCTTGGTCAAGATTATTTGGCTTGGTGGAAAATTAGGGTTGCTGGATATCAAATACACATTGTGACATTAGTATTATTTCATTTCAAACTTGCAACAGATTTCTTCAGCTTCACGGGCTTCATAACATTCATGGTTTACGATGCGAACAATATTAACTTGAGGGTTTCATGTTTTCAATTTGCTTCATTTCCAAGCTTTCTGCAGAAAGCGCCATTGTTAGTTTCGTCCTAACTTGATTAACTGAGAGCAACTAAAAATTAATTAAAACTGAACTGTACCCATTCTGACTTTAGATACATACATACATATACATATATATATATACATATATACATATATATATATATAGATTTTAAGATTCATTTTCTCTATAAGGTTAGTCTGTGTTTCCTTCTGTGAGATTTTTTCTCACAGAAGGATATATATATATATGAGAGGAGAAAAAATCTCACAGAAGGAAACACAGACTAACCTTATAGAGAAAATGAATCTTAAAATCTAATTGTTAAGTGTCATCACCAATTATAATTATCATCATCAGTTTCAAATTAGAATCAAATAGCCATCGACGCTCTTATCAGTTGAAATATTGCTATAATTTTTTAGACGCTAGCACACAGTATACACAAAGAATATATAAACTCCATAAAGTTGCTTATCCAAATCCAAAAGCTACTGGCGTCAAAAATCAACCAAACAAGACAAATATCAATTCATTTCGTTGGATACTGTTTCAGATGTATAGCAGATGAACCTCTATAAAAAGTAAACTTGCCAAACTACATGTGTTTGCTAATAGCCCCACACATCTGAAGGACACTAGAAAGTCTAGACCCATGCACACACTCGGGAATATACTTTGTGAATCAAAACGTAAATATCTCAACAAAATTTTCTCTGGTACAATGATTCTCGATCAAGCAAAATAAATTATGGAACATCTTCATGGGGACCATATGCAAATGGTACCTCGTGTCAATGAATAAACCTACAAAAGGAACCATAACCTAACTCGACCAAGATGGTTCAGTTTAAGCGCATGGGACGGTCTACAGTGCAAAAGGCACTATATATCCCTCTTCAAGATCAAGCTGTTTTCACTTTACGAGAGGGAGGACGACGGAACAGACTGATGAGATCATCAAGACCCTGTTCAGCAACATGATTAGTGTGTTTATATTTAGCACGGTGAGGAAGGTTAGTAGAATAGACAAAAAGCCACAAATACGACAAATTTTTAATTGAAAGAAAATTTTGTGCAAGATTATAATAAGATCAGAAACTATACCCTGGTTGTGATAACAAGAAAACTGAAAAGGATTATCAGGTATGATCCCAACACTAGTAGCAAGAGCAAGTCGAATGTCACACTGGCAACCTGTAACAACACATCCACACTGTTACATCTCTGACAAATGACTTTTATTAAGTAATCATCTACTTTTTTTCTCCGAGACTATACTCAAATGACGTCTTGACCCACATGACAAATTTCCCTTTCTTCTTTGTTTGTGGTTGAGTGAGGCCTTTAGGCTCTGTTTGGTTGTCAAAAGCAGTGAGAGAAAGTAAAAGAATCCATTAATAAAATAAAAGAAAAATTCATCAGAATTCACCAAGTTTTCTCACTATTTCTTAAGAAAATTATTTCTTCTTTCCTTGGTGTTTTATTCCTCAGCTTTCTAAATTCTAACACAACCAAACAAGGTAAAATGAAAATTCCTTGTAATTTCTTTTTCCTTCCTGGTTCTGAGTTGAAATGGAACTTAGTACATCTAGGGAAAAATTTTGGACGGATTAACCACAACGATAATTGCAGACATGAACTACCTCAGCTCAGAGTAACTTGGGTCGAGAAACACGACCATTTCTATTACAATTCTATTAAAACAATATAGGTTGCTAGCTGGAAGACCCATGCACAGGTAAGTTTAGACACACAATTGAGCTAGAAGTAAAAGTCAAAGATAAGGTATTTAATTTCTCTTCATTACAATTCTAATCAGATGGTTTTAAAAGCGCAAGGAAAATTGGGATTAAGTTTTCCCCTACAAAATATGGGTTTTGTTACTTATCAAAAAAAAAAAAAAAAAAAAAAGGGTTTTGTCAAGCATGAGTACTTCTGAGGTTGGCAGGACTTGAAACACTTAGAAAAAGAAAGAATGAATGAAAGGGGAGGCAAAAAAGAGAATTCTGTCCACACACACACATACACACACACAGGGAGAGAGAGATACCTGATAAACGTAAAGCTTGGCACTTGTTGAATCATAGAAAGTGAACATCTCATCAAGCACTTCATGTTGCAGATTCACCTCAACGGTATGATCTGCTAATTCCTGCCATCCAATAGAAAGTGACACTGGTCAAAATCAAACAATGAAGTTAAGGAAACAGAAGATTTATATTGTATATGCATACTGGGTTCACTCCCCTTTTTGAGGGCTTTTAATGATATCTTACTTATCATAAAAAAAAAATTGTATATGCATAATACACACTCACATCTAGAGACAGAATGCAATTAGGTATTTTTGCTTCTCTTCTGCCAGCAACACGAGGAGGTGGATGAATCTTGAAACCAAAATAGGAGGAATACATGAGAATTGAAGGAACACGATCAGCCAGCCTGCCTGTTCATTGCGTGACAGAGATGCAGGAGGAGGAGCTTAGATGCAGGTATGTCTTAATGTGCAAGATTTTGAGAAAGTGAAGATTGGGCTAACAGATTACAAAGTGAGGTGGGTCTCAAAGTTGTAGGGCACTCAGCAGATAGATAGGTGGCTTGTTTGTTTGGAGGAAGGATGAAGATTGAACTGCCTAGTAACCCTTATAGCCTATGATGTACACAGTTTCACCTGTAAAATTAAGAATTTAGCGGCAGCAAATAAGGATGGCCAAGACATTTGGCAGGCTGAGTTAATGCAAGAGGAGGCGGTGGCATAGGATTAAAATGTTAAAGGAAGGGGTTAAGCATGCCAATGAAATGGAGGAGGTTGGAGACGATGAATCAGATGTGTATGCCTTTTTGATGAATCAGGGGCTGCTGATTACTTGACTCAGGGAATGGGAGTGAGTTTGTGAATTTGGCAGTAGGGCATATGCAGGAAATAAAGAAGCTGTGAGTACCAGTTCCGAATTGGCAAAGAAATGCAAGTGGATGCAGAAGAGACTAAGCCCATCATATGCCACCCATTGGCCATGGTTGTCCCCTCGAATAAGCAGAGGGTGGAATCCAGCACGGTTGAGAATGGCTCTGTAGGAGGGGAAGAATTGGGTTGGGTTTTAGCCAATATAGAGGAGGTGCATAAATGGCTTGGCATTATCCTACGAAGGGCAATAGAAGGAGGCTCAAAGGCTGTTTAAGTCCATAGACTCGAGTTGGAAGATTACAAAGGCGAGGAAGAAGAGCAAGGAGAAAAGGATACCTATTGGAAGAGAAGAGAGTTGAACAATCTGATGTTTTATGTTAATTATGAAGGGAATGGTGGAAGCAGAAAAAAAGAGCACTAAGAAGAAGGGTAGGGTATCATTGTTTATAAATGAAAATCCAAACATTTTCGTAGTATATTCCTGGATTGAATGATCCAAAAGGGTGCTTGTGTTGTTAGTCTTCAAGAAACAAAGATGGATTCCTTTTCCAGTGAAGTGGTGAAGAGTATCTAGGTGTAGAGATGATAAGGAATTAAGTTATTTCATTCCTAAACTTATTTGTGGACAATGGATCCAGATAGGTTTTATTGGGGGTTTATGAGCCTGTTGAGGGCACCAATAGTACACTTTGGGAAGATTTGGTAGGTTGCAGATGAGGGGACATGCCTTTGGTGCATTCAAGAAGGGCTTAAATGTGGTGAGATTCCCTAGTGAGTGGTCTACGAGTGAGTGAGTGACAGGTGTGATGACAGGGTTTTCTAACTTCATTGTCTTTCATTGCCTGATAAATCTTCCTTTTGAGAGGAGGTCAGGTTCAGATCTTCCAACATTATCCAGGTTGGATAGATTCTTGATATTGGTGGACCAGTAGTTCTCATGTGTGACACAGATGCCCTTGGCCACAAAAATTTTGTAACATATTCCCATTCTGTTAAGCAGTGGTGTACCAGACGAGGAAATGGGGTCTCTTGCATTTGAGAATACGTGGCTTAAGAATGATTAGTTTAGGGATAGAGTCAGAAACAGTTACAGAATTCGGGTACTATGAGCTTCACCATAGAACAAAAACTCAGGATGCTCAAAGCAGATTTGAAGAAATAGTATATATGGATATTAATAATTTAGAACCGAAGAATTCCAGGGCAATGGATGAGATCAAATGCTTGATGGGAAAGGAATTGAAGATTCAAGTGAAGACGAGAAGGTTAGGAGGGAGGGATGCAGAGGAATGCAGAGAGTGGAGGTAGAGAGGAGTGAACCATACTGATGGGATGAGATCGGGAGGAGCACTGTTCAATATATGAGCACTTGTATTCCAAGATTTCTTGGTGGAGAGGAACATTGAACAGATGGAGTTTTCTGGCAATATTAATTATTTAGAAAGATAGAACTCAGGCAGGAAAGACCATTCACTGAGGAGGAAGTGGTAGCCACTCCAAAGAGTTGTAACATGATAAATCTCCTGGATTTGGATGGTTTGATGATGACATTATTTCACTCGTGTTGGGATGTTGTAATAGCATATGTGCTCGACATTTTCAACTTATTTCATGAGCATGAGTTTTTCAAAAGATGCCTACCTCCTTTTTTCCATGTTTTTTTTCATCCCAAGAGAAGGAATTGTTATGGACTAGAAGGAATTTCTGCCTTTCAGTTTAGAGGATGGCATGCATAATCTCACAATTCAGGTACTGACTTTGAGGCTCAGGGTGGCCTGGTGATATGTGCAGTTATTGATTGTTGTAAAGGCACATGATCATATGCCTTTACAACATTCAATTTGCAAGCAAAGCCTAGCTTATTACTCAATTTACTCCTAATCATCCATATATTTCATTGAGAGGATGAACTTTAGCCCAAGAAGGAAAGAAAATATTATTTTGCGTAGTTTTCGAAGTTTTATGGGATATCATATTTGGATAAGGACATTCTCACCAACTAAGAAGCCTAAAACTTCACAAACATAATTGATGTTTTAGTAAAATGGAAACTTATACTAGAAACTAGGTACAAAAACAATTTGCTGCAACTAGCAACTTTACGCAGCATGGAAACACTAAAAAGGACTTTGTGTCCATGTCAGACCCAACACACCAATCATGTGTATCAGATATAAACTGAGTGAAAAATACAGATTTTTCCAAGTTCACACATGATCCAATGAGTTCCACATATTTATTTATTTTCTTCCTAAGGAATTAGTATAATATGCATACACACACATACATTAAGAGTTAAGGAAATGTTACTAATGGAACATGGAGTAATTATAGAGTATAAAAATCCAAAAACTTGGACCATTTAGAGGTCATTAGTGGAAGGCGTTGATAAAGGAGCAGAAGTCAGGTGCCTATGGAATATAAATTTCAAGTCATCAATTTGTTGCTTAAATTGGAAAACATGTAAAAATATGAACATGCAAGTAGTTAAATAACCATGCTGCACCATAACACGCATAACTCAGAAAACCCATAAAAATATATTAAATATATGTGCCACTGCCATGAACAAGAACAACAGAGGGAAAAAATAAATAAATAAATAAAGCCATCAAGTACGCAAATTGTAGGACTATATAAAAAAATAAAACCTTTTTCAAAGCCATGATGAACGGGTCATTCTTTGATAGAAATGGTGCCACTCGAGGAGTCTGTGACAAGAGATTCAACCACGATTTTACATAAGAGGGGTTGATAGCCAAGCTACTATTTTCTGTAAATATCTTGACGTTTTTTCCCTGGTGGCCATAGATATGCCTCTGCATATGTGTGAGAGAGACACAGAGAGAAAATTAGAGAATTAATCTTCTGATCCAATATAATATTAAAATCTACTTTGGCTGTAAAATTTAAATCCATATGCAAGATAGAATAAAATTCATGCGTGTTAAGTGTCATCAAAAGGTTACATTGCAGAATAACGAAAAATTCACATTAATGTGTCTGCAAAAGTACAAAGAAAGTTGAATAAAATATAAATTCATGCTTGCAACATGAGTACATATGTACATCCTTACACGTCCTTTTTCTTTATGCAGTTCAGACTTCGGACTTTGGCGAAATGCCTGTTTGAACAGGACATGTATACTCTAGTAACTTATTATGTATTAATTTTGACAAAAGTCATTTGTATCACCAGTCACCAATGTATTAGACTTCAAATGGCTACCAATCAATCCATCATAATTATGGTGTTATAAACAGGACTAACATACATGCATGACAAAGATAAAGCTACTAATGGGCCATTAAAAATCAATCTTGTCTAAGATCTACGGGGAACTTGCTAAAGAAAAAACACTAAAACAACCATCTCCAACCAAAGGCCATAAGATACCAAGACAAATCAAAAGAATGATAATGACACAGACAGTCAGCCATTTACATGACCACAATGAGATTTCTTTTTCAATTTTTAAGGGTTCTTGAATTATACACCCTTTCCATACATAATTTTAAAAAGCTTTATTAAAAATTGATTCAAGGTTTGCCACAAGGTGAAGCATTCCATATAATCATTGAGGCTTTTAAATTAGAGAAGCGTCTAGTTAAGCATATGCTTCATGTTTTGTTCCACCATGGCCAACAGGAATTACTTCTAATTCAGATAATACACATAGAAATCCTTACCGCCAGACTCTCAGCAACTAAATTGACACTTCTAATAATTGCAGCTTCGTTCACTAAGTCTCTGCGGAGAAAACCAAAGTCTCAGCAAACAGCCAACTGAAACAGAGTAGTCCGAAAAATAAGAAAACGAGAGTTTAGGTTACGAATAATTACCTGTTATCAGACAGACCTCCAGTGCTTTCTAGCAATTCAGGTGCAGTGGGAAGTTCAGAAAGTGTTGCTGCGGTAACTCTCAGCCTTGAAAATTGTTCATGCTCCCAGGCGACCTACAGCATATTAACACCTTCAGAAACTCATCTCAACAGATGAATTGTAAGGCAGAGGCATAGTTAAATGACTACATGCTTAACAGAACAGGAAGTATTCTGATGAACAATAAAAGTTATCAATTAGTTAAAAGCATAAAGCAGAAGGTAAACTCAATAGCTTCATGCTAACAATAAGTCACATCGTAATTTTTCTTCTTTTGGTAATGATCTTGGTGCATAATAGGCCAGACAGATAGAATAGGATTTGTAATGGAGAGCAATACTATTGTTTAAGAATTAATATGATGTTGAATTGTTGAAGGTGGCAATGAATGTAAATATGCTTGATTTCGTGTTTGATACCTTAGAGCTAATGGGAGTCCAAAGGACATAACTGTTTCATGTTCTCAAGTTATTACCATGTTCATGGTTTAATTTGAGTTCATATTCTCACAGGGGTTTCGGATGGCTTATCGACTTACTCGAGGATTAGAAATATTTATTTTCTTGTGCTTAAGACCAACTTTGAGCCCTAACTCTTCTGCTACGTTTGAGAAACCCTGCACAAAAATCCATCCGTTAACCATAAACCAGCACAATGCAATTTTTTGAGGTGTAACATAGCTCTAATTTTTTTCTTAATGAAGTAATATTTTCTTACTTCATAAATTTGCTTTATGTAGGCATTTTCTGGAGGTTTAGACACATGAATCCATAATTCATTGTCCCATGAGCCAATAGTATTCAAGCAAATAGCATAATCAATACTTTCACGCAAACGTTGATCGAAATTTCGAAGCCACTGCACAAGGTAAGATACAAACTAAGTAAATGAAAGAAGATAACAAGAACAATAAAATAGAAGTAACAAGTCCACCAGCAGAGCTAAGAACCTTGTGAGTTCCATTATAGTTGTAAGGTCCACCAGATGTTAGCCCAAAGAGTAAGTTGTACCTTCCTCTAGTATTAGGATTTGAATACAAAACAGAGAATAACCTAGCTATTTCAAGAAGTGCCACAATGCCACTTCCATTGCTATCACTTCCAACTGATAATGCCTACAAATATTAAAATTAAAAAATAAAAAGATCAGACCTACAAAAATTATAGAAATTGATTCAACCAAATTAATAAAATTTAGATACCGGTGTAGCCCCAAACGTGTCGTAAGATGCCACAATGGCAATTGTTGGTAGTTGATTTGAATCTCCATCTGCTTTCGATCCCGGCAACCATCCCTATCATAACCAAATGAACTATTGAAACCATCAATTCAACCAAGAATGAGCACCATTACTAGAATCTGCCAGATATATGCAGCGGTGTCCAGATCACCTATGCCCGTGTTTAAAAATTAGCTTAACTAGATGGCATGCAGACAGTATTCAGTAACAAATAGTGTATAAAAAACTCAGGCAAACAGTTTTGTAAAATCTATCATATTAAAACTGGGAAAAATAAGTATGTTATGTGTAAAAATAAGTCTGAAATCATGTCTGGTTAACGGATTTATTACAAATCTTAGTGTAATATCCTTAAATTAAAAAAAAAAAAAAAAAAGACTTTCTTACCTTAAATTTTTGGGTAAAGTGTATTAAACCCCCCTGAACTATTGGGGTATGTGCAAGAAACCCCCCTGAACTATAAAAGTTGCAAAAAACCCCCCTGAATTATTGAGGTATGTGCAAGAAACCCTCCTGAACTATAAAAGTTGCAAAAAACCCCCCTGAACTATTGGGGTATGTGCAAGAAACCCCCCTGAACTATATATCTTTTTGCAGTTTACTCCATACGTGCGAATTGATTGACTGAAAGGGACGATGAAGCCGAGGAATTTGTGGCTGGGATCAGAGTGGTAGATGTCGTCTGAGGAGTGTTTGGATAAACCAAGGAATCTGTTGCTGGGATCGGTGAGTCTCCTGTCATAGCTCCATCATAGCCGTTGCACCACCCACCAGATTCGTCGGCCATATATATCGCACTTCTTTGCACCGTTGCGTTAGCCCATCGCCGTAACTGCCTTGCCCGCCGTTCAGCTCACCTTGCTCGCCGGTCCATTCCACTGTCCATTCCAAGCTCGCCAGCACATTCCTCCATCTCCATAGCCGAGCACTACGCCGTTCGTGTTTCGAGCACACAGCTGCCCACAGTTCACCTCCGAGCCCACCTTGAGCTCGCCGCCGCCTCCACAGTTCACCGCCGAGTCAACCGAGCTTTCATCACAGCCGAGTCCTCCGCGCACAAGCCGCCATCATCCGAGACCGAGCCATCCCGCCGACCTCGGATTTCTTTGTTCTCTTCTCTCTATCTCTCTCTCTCTAGCTCTCTGTTTTGGGTTGTGTTGAGTGAAAAACATCTTTTGGCAGAAAAAAAAAATGTAAGAAGTGTATAAGTTAAAACGACGCAGTGTGTTACAAGGGTAAACTGGTCTTTCAAAATTTTCGGTGCCGGAAGCTGATGTCATGGGGGTAAATTGCAACAAAATCATAGTTCAGGGGGGTAAATTGCAACAAAATCGTAGTTCAGGGGGGTTTTTTGTAGTTCAGGGGGGTTTCTTGCAAATGACCAATAGTTCAAGGGGGTAAATTGCAACAAAATCATAGTTCAGGCGGGTTTTTTGTAGTTCAGGGGGGTTTCTTGCAAATGACCAATAGTTTAAGGGGGTTTAATGCATTTTACCTTAAATTTTTTTATAAGAAAAAAAAACTAAAAAAAAAAAATCGAAATCAACTTCAAGGATACTTGCTTCAAAAAAGTATCTTATAACTTCAAGGACATCTTTTAGAAGTAAACAACTTTGCTTTCATCAGCGAAAAGGAAAAAGACAACTCACAGATAATTGTATTTAAATATAACTTCTATACACTGCGAGGTAATTCAAGAGTACAATCAATCACAAATATTTCCTCATACTACCATAAACTTTTCAGTATGACCAATCACTCCCAATAAAAAGGGTAAAACCATCAGCAAAAAGGAAAAAAACAGATTTACAGATAACTGCATATCAATATATGCAATCAATAAGGTAATTCAAGAGTACAATCAATCACAAATAGTTCCGCATGCTAACATAAAATTTTCAGGATGACCAATCACTTCAATAAAAACAATAAAGTTGATCCTGGACCTGGATGTTTGTGATGGTGGGAGATGCAAGTTTCTTAGGTTCTGGTGCTGAGACAACAAGCTTATATCTGAAATATTTCAAAACAAATATGAGATGAGCACACTGACAAAAACAACATTCCTTATCAACATCTCAAAAGAATATCCAACTAGGAGAAGCATACGACTGAGAATATGTTAAAAACCTCTACAAAGCTAATTATAATTTACATGTAGAAACATATTTATATTACTATCAATGACTAAAAGACAGATTGAGTTAAAATCAATCTACAAATTGTCAACAACATGTCAATACAGATGAAGTCATGAATGATTATTTTGTAAACATATAAAATCAGCTACCAGAGGGCGAGCCTTGGTGCAACGGTAAGGTTGCTTCACGGTGGCCCGGAGGTCGCGGGTTCAAAACAAGGAAATAACCTCTCCGCAAGCGGAGGTAAGGCTGCATACATTTGACCACCACACCCAACAAGACCCATGATGACGGGAGCCTCGTGCACTAGGCTAGCCCTTATAAAATCAGCTATCAGGATAAAAGGATAAATAATATGACAAATAATAATACGGTTAGCAACAACTGTAAAAGCAAAAACTCTTGAGTTCATGGAAAAGCAGTAGCTGCTCTTGGCATTAACACGCAAGCAAGATTATACGTTGCCCTCTTTACTGCATTTTAACTCCTTAAAACCGGTTATAGTAAATTACAAAGCCATACGTCCAAAGTTTATATGTATCTTGCCTTTTTCCTGTTCAAATTCTTTTCACTCTTGAAACAAGTTCTTTAAAATATTTACTCCAGTAACATTTTCTTCTAATTTGCATTATTCTCAAACTACACAGACAGCTACAAATTCAAGAACCTATGGTCCCACTTGGACACTTAAAATATTACAAATCTTCCCTCTCTTTTTTCAAGCAAAGCACAAAAGACCTTAACAATAGCACAGCGAAATCTCAACAGATTTATAACATGGAAACACAATGCAGCACACTCAGAAGGAGGTGTGATTCTGTTAACCACTTGTGCAGCATCATTGCCGTTTGCCACCAGCGAGGATGTGGGAAAAAATCGGAAGAAGAAGAAAGAAGTGCATATAGTATACAATTGAGCAATTTTCCAAATGTAAGACAAATAATTAATACCCAAAAAGGCCTTTGTAAGAAGGATCACACATAAACTGAGCTGTTCTTGACGCTCAACTCGACTCAGCTTGAATATTGGTAAATATTGGCACATTCAATATCATCCGGTCAACTATGGGAGTGAGTTCAAGACTAAAATTTAAGCTTGGTTAACAAAAGTATAAGAGTCATGTAAGATTTTTGAATTTGCTTAAATTTTAAAATTTATGAAATTTTAGTCCTTTAATTCTCCAGTTTTAAAAAGAGATGGTAGTGACGTTTCAGTGTGAGCACCCCCTGTGCACGGGCAGGCCCAGGTGGCTGAGTGTACCTGCAGTTAAGCTCCCTTTGGCACTATTCCTTTTATAAAAAAGGAAAGGAAAAAGAACAAAAGATGGCACAGGAATCATTATATCAAAGTGCATAATCTTGAGCATGTGAAGGCCACAATTATGCTCATTTCTTGTTTGTGTTGATTTCTAATGCATTGTTTGTGTTTATCATTGTCTATGTCACCTAGAAAAATACGAAAGCGAGGTAAAAAAAACGAAAAAGATATAGTAAATTGTTTGAACTAACATTTTATTCTAGATTTAAATCGATAGAGTGCCAAAAACATTTGGGACAGAAATAATCCCTCATAAGAAGACAAGTATTTCATCACCCTTATAAATAAATCCAATTTATAAAAGGTGGGAGTTTAAATAATATACAAAATAATTGTCCACACTTGGGATAGAGCTACAAGGTCCCATAAAGAGGATAAACAGAGATGACAGATTATTTAGGATATGTTCAATATTAAAACTACATAGAGTATAACGAGAAGCTTCTTCGACCTATTAAATTTTGAAAGTAACAACTGATAATTTAGGCTATATTCCCTTTGCCTCGTCTTTCATTTTACTATACAAATCCCTCTTTTTAAGAAAAATGTAAAAGAAAGGCATCATCTCTCCCTCCCTAAATGTATCAAAGCCAATAATCGGACAAATCGGTTGCAAAAATACTTATTATATATATATATATATATATATATATATAAACAAGTACGATGTCAATTATTATTTTCACTAAAACCATTACTGTGATAACATAACACAAGAAATTTCCAACTCCAATAGTAAATTAAGTTTGATAAAAATAAATTCACGAAACATTTCTGGACAAACAAGTTTGAAGTCATGTTGACACAACATTCAAACAATAGAACCAAATTTATCTGATCATAATAAATACACTAGTAATCTATGATACATCCAGATATGTATGATTTCAGATGACTTGAAATGCTAATTCAAAATTTATCAACTAACCCTCCAGTTGTTGCAGTAGCAGGCTGACCAGTAGCATCATTTATCTTGACATCAGCTAAGACAGCTTTAATATTGTCATCCTCGAAAGCAAAATACACTGGATACTGTAAAAAGATAGAACTTCATCAAAATAACTACTTTGATAACATCACATAAGGGGAAAAAAAAGAGTAAGCAAATAAAAAGTAAAGTGCAACAATTTCAATTTCTGATTTCCACATTAAACCATCAATTAGTAGGACATGACAAGAAATCAGACTTACACAAGGAATGGCATTTACAGTTGCCAATTCCAGTTCTTTCCTGATAACATTTGGAAGTAAAAAAGCAAATATTCCAAATTTGCAGCTGACAAATTTTGCAACAAATTTCTTTAAATATACTATGAAAATCAATATTTAGTATTTCATAAATTACTTAAAGCCAAAAAAAATTCCTCTTTTTTAATAAGTGAAATTTCATTAAAAAGCACAAAAACGGGGCAGAAATATGCACACACAATAACTAGGCTATATAAAAAGTAAAAAAAAAAACTGTACTCTCATCTCTTCAAAAAGATCTACAAAAGAATTAATGACCAAGAAGCTCCTTATGATAAAAAATATAAAGAGCTCAGAGCAATATGCTATAGAAACCAGACAGGGTACTCCACTCCTTCAAAAGCCCTCTTATTTCTCTCATACCATATGCTTTACCTACGACAAAGAGGTGCTACATATCAAATCTCTCTAGGTCTTCTTTACACTCTACCACCTCCCATGTGACATCCCATGTCACCTGGGGAGAGAATTTGTTGGCACCTATATGTGCGGATGTCTCCTATCTGTGTAGATGCGTTTTGAAAACCGGGAGTATTGAAAGTGTGTAAAGCGGCCAATATCTACATAGCGGGCCAGGTTGTGACAAATGGTATCAAAGCCAATCCCAAGCCTGAAATGAGGGGAGTGTGCACAAGCCCATGAAGGTCTGGCCAGCAAGGACATTGGAAACTATGACCACGGAAAGATGCCTCTTAACTGCATAGACACGTTTTGAAAACCATGACCAAGGAAAGAGTGCAAAATGGACAATATCTACACAACGAGATGGGCCGTGACATCCCAACCAGTAAGCATCGCTCCACCGAGCTAGGAATGTCCCATTGAACTCCAAAGAGGGCTAAAAGCAAAGCCCTCGAATATCTCACCATCTGAAAATGCAATAAAAATGGCTAAACTGATTCTTCATCCGTCTAGCACACCTAACAATAGTCTTGTGTTCCTTCAATAAATTATCCAAGATCAAGACCTTCCTGATAACTACCATCCACCCAAAGAACACAACTATCAAATGAGTCTTTGCGTGCCAAATAGCCCCCAAGGAAACCCCCTACCAAAAAAACCCGCCATTGAGCACTTGTAGTATGCTCTCACCTCAAATAACCCACCTTGATACCATCCACCTGAAATTCATCCTTGTCACCTTACTGAAAGCCTAATTATACAATATCTCAAAGGGTACACTAATTTTATCAACCTTTCAATCCAAAAGAGGCCTATGAAACAGAATATCCCACGCCAACCTACTCTCCATGGATCTCCTAAGTCCACGACCAAGTTGTAAAGATCGCCTATCAACTGCAACCTTTAAAGAGACAGCAAGGATTAAGATGAGGGGACTTCACCAAACACTAATTCAGCAAAAATCAAGGTTGTAAAGATAAGGATCCTATATAATATCATCAGATTATAGAATCAGACCAAGAATTCGTAAATTTAACAAATTGAGGGGAAAAGACTTGAACAATATGCATAAACAAATAATTTCAGATAATAGAACTAGAACAAATTACAAGTCTAAAACGCATAAAAAAATACAGAAATATTATTACAAATATACTGATTTGGAATACGAACTTAAAATAGGTAATGGTGGTTGAGTAGACTCCATTTACACACGAAGGCGGAAAAGTAAAGCTACAAACATTAGACAGTTAGCTGGAAAGAAAGCAAATGCAGAATCTTAAGCCATGGGAAATTTGATATATGAAATATGACACGTTGTAAAGCCATTGAAGCACAGTTGAGCAAGAACAGCATCTGAAGAGGATACGTGAGTTGGGTGTCTATTCTTGCCGGTGGGATGAGGGGCAGAGGATAACAAATAATGAAGACTTTAAGTGAGATTTAAACAACAGGAACAATAATTACCAAAACAAAGAGAAGCAATAGAATGATTGTTTCACTCACAGGGATGTTGGCATGTATAAGTAACCGTTCCAATTCCACCAATATGTTCCTTATAAGTTCTTTTCCAAGTCCTTGATCACCTCCATCCATATTGGCTCTGTTTTCGGAGCTAAACATCCGAGGCAGCAATAGTAATAAACCACCTAACGGCCGTCTTTGTCCAATGTATTCTGCCATACGGTTGCCAAAAAGATAACAATCCTGATCAGATAATAAAAAAAGAAAAATCTTAAAAATCGGCTGAACAGATAATGGTGCTACAAGCCTACAAGCCAATTAGGTCTCAAAATAGTAGAGTTGCTTAAAATCCATTTTCATACCATATTAATAAAGAAATCCAAAGAAAAAATAAAAGGAAAAGGAAAAAAAAATCAAACAGTACAAGCGCTCCACATCGTTTGAAAATCCTGACAGTAGTAAAAGTTTCAAATCATTGTTTTTCTTTTTCCTGAATTCTATAGGACGGGAGGAAAGGGGAAGGCACATTGTACATTCTGAGACTTGTCAGCTTAAGTGAGAGGTATACAAATGCAAAAAGTTAACTATTTCTATGATGCTATGTTCAGTAGCATGAAGTTGGTGCTTTGGAATTGGAATTGGAATTGGAGAAAAATCAGTTCAAACTATGATGCTACATTTGGTAGCATGGAATTGGTGCCTTGGTACCATGCTATGTTTGATAACATGTAATTGGTGCCTCATAATTGGAATTGGAATTGGAGAAAAATTAGTTCAAACTACAATGTTATGTTTGGTATCATGGAATTGGTGACTTGGAATTGGAAATGGAGAAAATATTGTTTTTAAGTTCCATGCTACCAAACATAGCTTGAATATCTTTAATCCAATAAGCTATTGACAATTTTTATCTTTGCTATATCATATTGATGAATTATGATTAATTTCTATTACCCTTGCATACTAAGAGTGTCAAACTACGGTAACTAGGGTCTAATTAACAGTTGCACATACTTGAAGCTCAAAAAAAAAAAAAATTTGGAATCTAATTCAAATGAACAACATATTAAATCAATCCACGTACAATGAATTTGAACCACCACTATATCCCAGTAAACACGGATTAGGTACTACTGTTCACACAAACGAACAGAAAGCTAAGTAATATTGATGGGATAGGGAGAATTATACCTCTAATGAAAGTGAGGTTCAGTTCACGAACAGGAAGTATGACAACTGTGCGTGAGAGATCTGTGCCAGGGGCGAAGAGCGAAGAGCCGGCGTGGTGATTGAGAGAGGCGAAGCGAGATCCGAACGGGACGCCGGCGAGATCGTACTGAATGAGGCGATAGACGTCGACGACGGCGGCGGCGTCGAGGACCTCTACGCAGGCGACTAGCATGAAGACCAGTGCGATCATGGAGTACACTGACTCGAAAACATCGCGCCCGCAAGCTTTCCTCGGAGTCGCCATTGACGGACAGAGGGAGACTGACTTTGATCTCTAGGGTTTTTTTAGCCGTAGGTTTGATTGATCTGAAATAGTAATAGTAAAGAATGTGTCTTGAGTTGTGGAGTGTGGGTGTTTGTTATGTCAGGGGATCACAGTGGAACTAATGAAGTAGGGATTCTCTCTAGTGCGGTTGCCATCTTAAATCAAAAACAAACAATCAATCATTACTGTTCTTATGAAGATTAAACTTTAAAACCATTGTATTATTGTGTATATAAATGGATAAATTATAAACCCCTCTCTTGGAAATACAACATAGTACATGTATTTATTTATGCTAATAAAAGAGATAAACATGTAGATGTTTGTAATTTTTTCTTTTAAAAAAAAAAATTTTTATGCAAACAATTCTTTGATTGCGTGAGTATCAATTAGAAAAACAAAAAAATTTGTGCCACTGTCTAACTTTTAGTACTGATACTATGTTTCATGTACTAAATAAATGAAACTGATTTTTTAGTGTGAATTTTTTTTATAAATTTTCCTTGTTAACATCAGCATAAAACAGTTAATATATATTAAAGATGAATTATACTTACATCAATAAAATAGAAAAAAAAAAAAATGCTAGATTTGCTATTTTTGGTTTCAATCAATAAAAAAGATGTCAAAGGATTTTTGTATTCAACAAAATATGTGACATGAGATGTCCTAATTTTAGTAATCAACAAGGAAGTCCATTCAAACATACAATGTGTGTGTGTATATATATATTTATTTGAGTTTGGTGAACCAAACAGGCTTGGTTATTTGTTAATTAACTGTTGATTTTTGATCAAAACATAGATCTTCCTTTTATGAACTTCTCATGGATCTTGTAATAAATTTTCCATTCATATCCGCCACACAATGAATTTTACAGACAAACAATTTAGAAATTTCATTTTTGTATTGTAACATTGTTTTATTAATTACATTATTTGTATTAAATAAATACTAAACACATATAGTGATTCTATTTATTTATATAAATATGTCTACGTTTAATCAGAATTTAAAATGAAAAGGGGATACCACTTGATTTTTCACTATAAAAATAAATTTATATTTTCAAAAAATTTAAAAACATTAGTTATACTCACATCGAAAATTCACTGCAATTATTTGGTGCAATAATTATTTTAATTGTACAAAACATTTTAGTTTATGATAAATACAACTTCCCCAAAAAAAAAAAAAAAAAATTAAATGTGTTAAAAGGGGAAATATACACTACGTATATATATATTTTGGTAAATGTGTAAAATGCATCATTTGTTGACGTAGTTGGTGAAAAGATTCTAATATAGGGGAGGTTAATGTAATTTTTAGGAAAGAAGGGGAGGTGCATTGAATGAACATTGCTAAACAGTGTCCTCCGAGATTGAGATATCCAGAGCAGCGAAGGGTTCGCCGCAAGGAAAAAAACGAAAGGGTATACCGCCACCGCCGCTGAATACTTAGAGGTTCATTCCTACGACACAACTTGCACTGCCTTTTCAACTCGTTAATTAAATATACGGACAAAAGAGTGCCTTTGAGCCGCATCTAACACCGTCTGATCTCTGCCTCTCTCTTTTCCTTTGCGTTCTTTGCATTCGAAGTCTGAGTTCTCTGCTTAGGGTTTTCACATCTGCAGGTACCTCCCTTCACTTTTCCCTTTTTTTGTCCTCTTTAATTAAGTGCACTTGTTTAGGGTTTACTGCTTTCGGAAATTGTTAATTCTGTGGTTGAATTGTTTTTTGCTTCTCTTCACGCATAATCACGTGTGGGTTTGCTAATTACTGTTTTTTTTTTTGGCTGATTGGTGTTCATTCAGTCATTCTATAAAGCAAAATGAGCTCAAATTGCCTATCATACTTGTACTGTAGAACATACATTGGTGTTTTAATGTGGGCATTGTGGTTCTGAGTTATTGGGTCTGAAGCATGTCATTTTGTGTGTGAGATAGGATATACCAATATGTAAGAATTGATTAAATATGACCTTATTTTTTGGTTTTATATGTGCTGTTCTCACTTCTCATTGGGTAGAATTCAGAATGGCTGAGGAAGAACAAGAAACAACCAGAGAAAATAGTCCAGAGGAAAGGAATCCAAAATCAAATGATGAAAGGGTAGAAAGTCGACAAAATAAAAGGAAGAAGCGATTGTTAGAGGAATCTGCAAAAGCTGACAAGCGTGGAGTTTGCTACTTGAGTCGGATTCCCCCACACATGGATCCTTTAAAGCTTCGTCAGATTCTCTCTCAGTATGGAGAAATACAAAGAATTTATCTTACACCTGAAGGTTATTTAGTTGTTTTGCTGTTCTGTTCTTTTTCATTTTTGTTTTCCTATGCGATTTTTCTTCTGTTCTTTTTGGTCCAAATTATCTCTATTCACTTCTTTGCAGGAGACCAATTGATCAATGTTTTCTGTGCAATCACTTGTTTTTGTGTTTGACTCGAAGTGTATTATGCTTTTTTCCCCCCTCTTTTTTTGGGTCAATTAATGGCCTTCTATTGATTTACATCACAGATCCTGCAGCTCAAGTACATCGTAAACGGGCTGGTGGATTTCGAGGTCAACAATTTTCAGAAGGGTATGTGTAATTACCAAGTATTCTGAATGCTTTATGTCTTGGAACAACTTCTATTTATTAAGTATTGCAGGACTCATAACAGGTTTCATTTACTCATAGTAAAGATTGTCTGTCAACTTTTTATAACCAAAGGTCGAATACATAGTTTCTTTAAATTTTCTTTAATATTATGTTAATTCATTACATGCTATTACTGTAATTATATGACTGCTTTTGGTGTGTATGTAGGTGGGTAGAATTTACCAAAAAGAATGTTGCAAAGAGAGTTGCTAAGATGTTAAATGGTGAACAAATCGGTATGTATATTTTATCGGAATGTTTTGTCAAACCTTTGTCTTTTATCTTGTAAAGTTATTTATTTATTATTTTTTATCATAACCGTGTTAGCATATTGTTGCCCCGAATTTCATGCCTTCATCTCAGAGAATGATTTAAACATTCTGCTCTTTAATTATTGAAACGGCATAAGTGGCAATTATGAAAAAAGAAGAAGAAATGGCATAAGTGGCCTGTGACAGTGGACCAAATTGATTCGGTACATTGAGTATGATTTTTTGTATGTCATTGAATTATTTTATGTGCTTCATACCACACATCCTAGTGGCAAACAGTCTAATGGCTTGTGGATTTGAAGTTTGTTCTGACTATTGTATATTAACGAATTTAACGCTGAGGCCATATCATGTTCTTACATATGCTTCATAACTCAAGTCAAATGATTCAGTCATTTGCATTTTCTTTTATGCACCTTCTAACAATCAGCTTGTACAACTTGAACTGCCTTCCTTTTTTCTCATTGTAGCCAGTAAGTTATGTAATTGAAGTTCCGATTTCATGTTTAATTTATCTTTAGGTGGGAGGAAGAGATCATCATTCTATTATGATCTTTGGAATATCAAGTACTTGAGTAAATTCAAATGGGATGATCTTACCGGAGAGATTGGTATGAAACTCTTCAAATTGTGTGATGTTATATGATCTTGTGTGTAAGCAGCCCCATTACCTAATTGAGATTTTTGTAATATTGTAGCATACAAGAATGCCGTTCGAGAGCAGAAACTAGCATTAGAAATTTCTGCTGCTAAGAGGGAGCGAGATTTCTACCTCTCTAAAGTTGATATGTCCCTCGCTTTGAGTTCTATAGAAGAACGATTAAAGAAGGTACGGACTATATTTTCTGGATAATATGGGTTGGCTGTTCATTGGAAACAACCGGCTTTCAATTGTAATCATCCCTAAATTTATATTAATTCATCGTCTAATGCATTTGACCATAGTAAGTTTGCACTATTTCGATTGACATGGTTCTTTGATTAGTAAGATTTCATGTAGCTGCTTGGTTGGGTTGAACTGCTAAAAACCAACTTAAATGCTGTCAGGAAAACTCTATCAATTGTGAATTGAAAATTATTGACAGGTATACAACTAAAATTATTGACAGGTATATGACAATTATATTCCCAAGCACTAATCAGGATCATGATTGAAATTTAATAAATCTTAGTGGCTTTAGTGCATTTATGTTTTGTATAACTAAAATGGGAAAAGAAATTGCAAATCTTGTAAAACCAGGTCACTTAAAAACGATTCAAGAACTGAACATAAAGTATCACAGAATTGAAAACACATACAAATGTGTGCACATAGTAAAATGAAAGGGGTGTGTATATGCACACACGTGTGAATGGTCCTTGTGTAATTATATTTTAGCAAATATTTTTATCCAAACTTGTTTCCAGAATAGAAAAACAAAAAGATTCTTCATGGTATAAAAAGTATGTAATTACGTATCTATTTTTTTTCTTAATAATAAAAAATACTTTACCTCACCTGCACTGCTGCACAGCACTGCCATGCCATATGTTTGTAATAATGAATCCATAGTTAAAATGCATCATCAGGGCTTTCTCAAACTTTGGGGTTTTTACTTTTCATTCATAACCATTCTGGATGTATTACTTTCATAATTTGAAGTCAAATATGTTTTGATTGATTTGTTTACTGCTCATGATTATAAGACCAAAAATTTGTGTCAATCCGGAAAGTATTCGATGATTTTTTGGGGGCATATAACAAGCATTGTTTCTCCCAGTAGCAAATTTAAATTCGACATGATCTGCTTTTCTTTGATTCTCCAGAAGAGAAAAGTGCAAGAAGAGTCCGGAGCAACTTCTGAGATCCCCAGTGGCCAGCAGGCACCAAAGGTGATTCGCCAATTCCGACAGACACAACCAGTTGCAGATAATGCTGGAGAAAGAAAACGTCGACTTTCTAAAGACATTCTTGCTGGAGTGAGTGTTTTCTGTTTTTAGGCATCACCTCATCTTATATCTGGGTTTTGGATATGTTAATTCAAGCTATACCATATGCCCTTTGCAGGTATTTGGTGGTTCTTAGTGGAGTTTGTGTATGGAGGATATGCTTCCAATCCATGATGTTCCAACGACTTTCCCGAGTACCTCATCTTCAATTTTGTCAGCTGTCGTGTACGGATTTTGAACTATATATATTTGGCAGTCCAGTTGATTGTCATGAGTCGGAGGATCTAATTCTGGCAGATACTGTGAATCATACATTTTTGTGTTTTGTAAGACATTATAATCTGAGATAAGATTTTGACAATTTTTTTTTCCTTCAAAATTTATCTGGATGATAGGGTTTTGCTGGTGGAGGATTTCTGAAATCAATGTTTGAACCACAAAAATTAACAGAGTTACTTCTGTTTGGTCAGTTTTTAACATACAAGTCACCTAGTTGAAGCCAAATAAACTGCTTGTGAATTGAATTAAGTACATCTTTCTCTTATAATTCATGTAGCAAACTTGTAGACAGTGAAACCAACAGGTCAATGGCCTAGTGGTATCAGATCCCTACTCTTCAAAGGGAGGTCAATGTTTCGAGCTTTAAGTGGAGGCACTATGTGCGAGAGTACCAACTAAGAAAAAAAAAAAAAAAATCCTCGGTAGATAGTGAAGGGCTTTTATTCATCTATATTATACACGGGGCAATGTCAGTGTGATCAAGGAAGATAGACTTGATTGCGCTTTAAAAAAAGATCGTCGGAGCAATAAATTATGGCCTTGAATTTGATCTCCTTATCCAATGCCTTCAAAATTTGACTTTTATCTTAGTTTTGTTCTCTCCTCCATTCCTGCAAAAAGAAGAATCAAGACAAGAAATTTCATTTCAGAGAACTTTTTTTTTTTTTTGGGGGGCAAATATAACCTCCCACAATGGGGAGGAGACTCAATCCTCTTGCCTGTAAAAGTGAAAGGAGACATACGGCCACAGGCAACTATTTAGCTTATTCTATATATGATAATTCGTAGGCTGTTGTGGCTTCGGAGCTGTCATTTCCTTCATCTCATTGGGATTTTTCAAAAAATATTTGGTTCGGATTTGGTCAGGAGAAGATTGAGTGCACTTCAAAAAATAAGATGACTACAAAATCTTTTTCTTCTGGTTTATGAGTTCTTAGTATATTCTTAAAAAGAAAAGACGACTGACTTCCCGCTAATTCGATTTAGAACATCATAAAGAGAAGAAGGTAAAAAATATCGGACCTGCAAACTGCAGATTTGTGGATGCATCCAGCTCTTGCTTTGAAGGGGCACAAAAAAGGGAAGACGTCTTATCTAACAATGCGCTTCAATCGCCCCCTTCTTCACTGCCTGGGAAAACTAACTGCAAATCTTCGTTGTCCCTGTAAACTTGAACTAGAGCAGCAGCTTTATATGCAAACAACCCAACCATAGCTGGCACAAGCTGTGAAGAACAAGAAAGAGTAACATATAAATATATTAAAACAGAAAGTCATCTTTCAAGCTTTGATCTATTTTTAGGAATAGCCCAAAAATACTGCAGTTTCAAGATAGGAATTTTAAGCACCACAAAATTAAGGCACCACCTGAAAATCAAACGAATCGTTGGTGAGAGACAACCCCCAAATTCCATATATCACAGCAGGGAACAAAATCCTTGGGGATGACAGAGCAATACCACTGCCCTTAACCACTCTCTCAAAGAAATCCCTCAGGTCCTCACTTCTTATACCAATTCTTATTTGAAAAGAGGAAAAAAAAAAAGAAAGGCAAGGCACAGGTCAGTTTTCATAAGGAGGGAGGAAATGATGTTTATGTATTAAAATACAAAAAATGAAGTTAAAATTTTCTGCAAGTACTTTTTTGACTTCTTTTGCATGAAAATCCGCGGAACCATTTCCTGGGAAATATTGTCTGCATGTCTGAATAAGAGCTGAAGATACAAGCAACTGCACAAGAAAAATGACAAGAGCTTGAATATCAGCATAAGAATCAAACACGAACTTGGAAATATTTTACAACTTCAAGAACATAAATTTTCTTAAAATGTGAACAAGCAACAATGCATTTTTTCTTTGCTACACAAGATAACAACCAAGTTTAGTTAATAAAGTACCCAAGATTATACTAAGCAAATAATCAAAATTAATAATGACTAATCTAAGTCATCAATATTTCAACCGATAAAAAAAACTTACCATTTCCATCTTGTATATGCTAACCTTGATATATTAAGAAGCACTATAACAATAAAGGAACTTCAGCAATGAGGAAAGTTATATTTGAACTAACCTGCAAAGAACTCCTGCCGCGTAACTGATAGCAGCCTATGCAGTTTATAAGTAAGTACGTTAGTTACTTGTAAGCACATTAACTCAGTTTTCTTATAAAAATATCTTCTGATTAAGAAGAATAAATAATTTATTTTTATGAAATCAAAGAAATCTTGCACCTTTTAATTGCAGAGATGATGGCTGGAAAGAAGACAAATTTTGGAATATAAAAATTATTTGGGAATTTCAAATACTCAGTTAAGAAATTCCTTTATTTCCTCGGGGATGTCCCTGATTAAGGTTGTTTGCTTTGGTTTTGTTGCTTATATTTTCTTCCGGCCTTCTCTTTTCATGATTTTTGGAGGAATATATACTCCTTTATTTGTCCTTATTCCCCTTTGCAATGAAAATTTTTAAAATGAAAAGTTAAAAATAATCTATTTTCCTTGGTGTCATAGGGAAGCAGGTAAAGCATAAAAAATATATACATAAGCTAAGAAAATAATTGGTACCAAAAGAGAAAGATCTGTAACAAAACGTAAATGACAAGCGATATAGCTGTGTAGTATTACCTGGAATGACAAAACCACCAAACAGTATCCACTACATGCAGTTCCGATGCCCACAGTTAAAAGCAGCAGTTCCCTCTTAAGCTACAGAAAGAAGGATAAATAATGAGCATCTTCGTCAATAACTGCAATACTTCAGTACCGGTTTCTTTGAGGCAGAAATAAATTTGCAAGAGATAAATACTAAAATCACTTCTATTTCAGCTTCGTTTAACGGGCAAGAAATGTCCTTGATACTGACGTGTTTATTGAAAAAGATGTGCGACTGTTCAGAGTGGAGAAGATATATTCTCAGTTCTGAACCTAAGTAGGACCTAGAGGGATGTGAATAGGTCTAAATTGACTTGCAGAAATTATAAGAAATGCTGTTCTCATATAACACCCATCAACCATTCAAGCCAACCAATAATCATGTAGATAAACAAAGCAAGAGAGAAGATGAGGATAATAAACAATAAATTTTACATGGAAAACCCCAAAGGGAAAAAAAAACATGGAGATACGAACAATCCACTATTCATATTCTAAACCCTTTAAGTTACCCAGTTATCTCTGATACAGACTCATGCCAGTTGTTCCACCATGAACACTGTCATTGTCTCAGTGAATCCATCTCCCAACACAATCCACTTTTTTCTTAATGTTTGTTCGTTCTTTTTTCACTTGTGCTCCTGTATCAAATAATAAAAAGATGAGGAAATCAAAGATCTTCAAAGAAGTTCTACGCCATGATAATCAGAATCACTGATCCTCAAAGACGCATTCTCATGACATACTATATGCTGAAAATACAAGGTTCTATTTTCTCTGGGACCCTTTTCATTCTTTTTTATCATGCCAAAGCAAAATTACTCAACAAGAATATTAATGCTGATGCGAGAAAGCAAATTTTCAGAAAATAATATCTGCTGGCAATCTAAAAGCAAAAATTTCCATGAAAAAATCAAAATTTCAGTTGTGTACATGACAACAAAAATTTTAATTTTCAGCAAAGACATTAATATTTCATATGTTGTAAGAGAAATTATAACAAATGAAAAGTAACTGACTGACGGTTATAATAAAGTAAATAAGAGTTTAAGACAAATACTATACAGCTTCATATCTGAGAAGGTTCAGTCTCTTCCTTTTCTCACTTTCATTCTTCAATTCCTGTCATTACAAGCATTAATAAGTAAAATTCATGTTAAAAGTTTATTTTCTCTAAGAGCTTCATTCTTATTATTTCCAAAGATAAACAAATTAAGAGTGGCATGAGTGGCATATAACTCCGAGCACCAATAATATTAAAAAAAAAAAGGAATTAGGATGACTAACCAAACATATACCTTAGCAGTCATCTTCTTATTGACTGGTGCAGAGTTATCACCTGCTACCCATTCTAGGGTTCTTGTCAGCTTCAAAAACCCACCCTCAATTTCTTCACCCAAGGCCTACAAATTTTAAGGGAATTAAAAAAATAAAAGAAGAAGAAGAAGAAGAAGAAGTAGAAATATGAATTAATTGATTATCAGTAACGAGAGTAAAGGCTAAGAAAAACAGAAAGCATCATCTAGTTGACTAAGGCTATAGGTGATGCAGAGCAAGCGGAAGAAGACTTTCTTCAAAGAGTTGTCCTAAGAAGACTAGACTGAGATTGCATTAATAGGGGCAGCTGATGATTTGATCAGATTGTGTGATTGTTTATGGGTTTTGAGTCATTAAATTAAGTTGTAAATCTGTCTTTATTTCCAGTTTAATGCTTACCATAAGCTCTAGTTATAATATTTTTGACATTCTGCTTCTATTTTGTAAGTCATGCCTTTTAAGTGAGTCATTTGACCATTTAAGGGCTTTTTTGTCTTCTTTTTTTTTTGTGTCTTTTATTCTGCTGGACAGAATGGTGGCTCTTAGATTATTTATACAAGGGTTACGATTGAATCTTTGCTAGGACATCCCTTGTGGCTTATAAAAGGATTGTTCCAAGTTGTATTCAATAGCTTTTTGGTATTATCAATATATTCAGCCCGCCACAACACCTTTATACCTCTCCCTTTCTTTGGGATTGAGTTGTGGGTGTTTAACCTATTCTCTAGCTTGATCTAGCTCTCTGTTTCCCATCCTTATAGATTTTATTCTCTCTTTCATAGCTGATTGCATTAATAGGCCATTAGAAATAATGAATATAAAGCTTTAAAATTATCTTCAGTCTTTTATAGTCACAGAAAATAAGAAGTACAACAAACAAGATCTCAAGAAGAGAGTAAGAGACTGACAGAAGTCCTCACAATAACTGCACAAACTGAAACTATTATTATTCTGTGATAATAGTTTGCGTTGTTAAGCAATTCAACACTGAAGAGTGAAGATGGTGCCAGCATCTATTTTGGCGCTTAAAATGTGAATCTATCAAGGACCACATAGAAACTATAGCAAATAAAAAAGCTGCTACTAAACGTTTTGAAAATAACTCAGTGCACATTTTCAGGTAGTCATTAGGGATCCTCCTTCAATTCAATATCCTATTTGCTGATTGATTGATTAATTCCTGTTACCTTTAGCTTTATACGTCTGAAAAAACCATAGAATTAAGAACATTGTCATATTATGTACGATGACTGCATATCAGATATAAGCTTAGGCAATTTTATCTCTATCTCCAGTGGTAGATGTGTCTATTAATATGGTTCTCTCTTTTGTATTAACTTGTGAAATATAACAATATTGGCTTCCTATCATGGACACAGGCCTTTATGGCCAAACCTTGCAAATATTGTGAGTTCTCTCTACTGTTTTTCTAGTTGTATAACTTATATTCCTCCAATTTCCACTAATAATGCACCGTTAAGCTTCCAAAGCACATGATTAAAAATATGGTTCTCTCTTATGAGGTTGAAGAAGCGTTCTTTGCAATAGAATACACACATATCATAGGATTGAATTTCTTTCAAGCTCTTAGATGTCTAAAACTGTTATCCTGTCAGTATTTAAATCACATAAGAGTGACTCCCTATTTGTAACATCACAAGATACATATGTACCTCTTGAGTCTCAAATGGCAAATTATCTACATCAGTTGTTTTGTCATAAGGTGGCATCTGTTTCAAGTATCAAACAACTGCGCAAGGATAATGAACAAAAGTATGAAACTGGTCAAAGGTTCCAAGTTGTGTTACATGGACTGTCCTATCCCCCTCAACATACCCTGTAATGGGTATAGATACAAAATATGTCTGACACATGTACAAAATCAAACAACAAGACCCTTGCATGGGATGAAAGAAGAAAAGAAAGATGGAATCCTCTTTTTTTTCACCATGTTCCATTTAATTTCAATTATACTGGGAATGTTTCAATGAATAAGAGCATCATGTGTTATTCTATTGTATAGCATATTGCGTATTTAAATGTGTAAAATCTGTTTAATATAGAAGAATTAGGGGAAGGGAAAGGCTAACATGAATATAGATAATTAGGAATAATATGATAGCATAGCATGTGGTCTGACTAAGACTACAGTCTAAGATAGAGTGGAATGACGAAATAGAATTCGTATAACCAACCCCAATAGTTGGAAAAAGGCTTTTTTCGAGTTGAATTTAAAGTTCAAATAACACACACACACAAGGACTTGCATAAGAATATACATGTATAAGCCCTGTTCCAACATCCATATGAAAAATCATGCTTTACTGTTTCATCTCACAGTGTTACAGAGGATTAATGCCAAAAGTTTGAAGTCCCCAAGCACCAAAAGATATATGGGATCACTCCCAAAAACTATATCAGAACAGCAGCTTTTAAATTAGGAATTCGAGTTTTGCAGTGAAAAGAGAGAGCTATTAAATTAGAAATTCTAGTTTTCCCAAGAAGTCAGAGAGAGAAGAAGAAGAAGAAGAAGAAGGAATTCTAATGACAATCACCAACAGAGCAGACGATAAATTCCATAGCTGATGTGTTTCTTCTAGCAGATCAAGTGTCTGAAATTTCAATTTACAATCATATTTTGGACATTAGGTTTTATCAAATTCTTTGGATTGCCATGTGTAAATTGTCAAATTATTAGGGTATTCCTTAAGGAATTCAAAATTAATTTGTGTGCCTGATTAATAAATTAATGTTGCACATATATGGTCATGCATGTGTGTCTGTTTAGAAGTTAACAATTGTATGTGCTATGATAGCTGGAAAGTACTCTGATATTAGTAAATAACAGTTATTTAACGGATGGAAATGACACTGTATAATTTATTTTAGCTGCTAATAGAGAAATGGAAATCCGTCAGATCCTTCTCTGCAACACTCCAGATGTGCATCTGAATACTTAGATATAGTGGTAAGGTGGTGATTTCTATAGTATTGGCGTCATGAATTGCTAATATAAGTGAAATCCACAAAGTTGGGATTCAGGGAACCAAAAGCAACTCGCATTAGATTTCAAAATTTAATTTCGAACAATTATTCCAAAGAAAGGAAATCCTTTTTTTTTTCCCGGTTGTTGTTGGGGGAAGGGGGACGGGAATGGAATCCTAATCATTCATTCCAAAACTACAAATCAAATGCATAATGTTCATATCACTAATTTGAATTTCTATATTAAATTCATTCTGCTTCAAATCATGTTAGCTAAAAGAAAAGATGAAAGAAGGGAAAAGGGTGATCTATATTAATTGGAAATAGTCATACCTCCTCTGGTAGTTGAGTAGTGTCAGCCACTATGTCAGTCTCTGCATCAACAAATTTAATGGCATCACGCAACCAAAGTATATCAGAAACTTTTGCTATGATATCGCCATTCTGCTCTCTCTCCTCGAAAAATGTTTGCAGAACATCATCTTCTGCTAGTTCACTTACTGGAGACAAAGAAGAAGAATAGAAGAACATCAGCTTCAACTTTAACTCTTCTGCTTCAACTTTTAAGTAAATCTGCAAAAGTTATACACTAAACGCTTATTTGTTGGATAATCGTAACTGTGATGGAATTTCATCCGTTTAAGAATTAGATCCTGGCATTTCCAACAAGACTTCGATTACCAATTAGCCAACTGGGTATTTTAAGAGTAACCTAACAAAAGTGCAGAATTTTTAAATTTTCCACAAATTCAACAACAATGATAGTGATGATGAATAGCAAGATTTTTTTTTTTGTAAAATGTCCAATTCTTTTTATGCTGATGCATTTCAATAATTCCTGCAGATACCAACTGCGTTTCAAGTATTCTAGACATATTCTTCATTCCTAGATTCTCTGTATTCAGAGTCTCTTGATATCTTCAAAATGAATCAAACAGCTCATGCCACTTGTAGAAAGGAGACATCTCTTGAGAAATTTATTCCTCTAACAAATTTGACTATTACTACAAAAGAGTTACCAACTTTTGTAAGTAGATTATTGCTACATTAAGTGCTCTAGAGTGGAGAAATTCTATCAGCTGGTTCCTCTACCAAGTGTACCAACATTGATGAACATTCAGTGCTATTGTTAGTAGACACTCACCAATCGCTACAAACACTGTATTATACTCAATCACTTACCACGTTGAAATAGTAAGGTTGCTCCATTGTATTATAATTACCGCATTGAAAATCAAGCAATCCACTCGAAATTTCCCACAGAGGTGCACAAACAAATAGCATCAATGAAACCTACCAACATTTTAAAATACCACAGTTTTTACTATTGAAACTACCTGCATTTAAATTGCCTATTTAACCCATTTTTTCCACAAACAAATAGAATCAATGAAACCTAATAGCATAATGAAATGCCACAATTTTTACCATTGAAACTACCTAAATTTGAATTGCATATTTAAATCATTTCTCCATTTTTTTTTTATGAAACTCTCAGTATCTTTTGTTTAATTAACTCTCAAATTCGAAGCCATTCCATCACAAAAACATCCCCTAAAACCCCCCAATTGGCCACCATGCTCACCCAAAAATTTCACTTTCACAATTTTTTTTTTAATTGGAACCCACATCGATTAAACTGCCAATGGAAGAGTTCAAATAATTTTATTTTTTCTGGGTTTGTTAGAAACCAAACAAACTCTTGGAAAATGTCTGGGACTCACCTGGACGAGGACTTCTTAAGACGGAGACAATTGTTGGAGTTTTCACGGGAAGGGACGAAGAACTACGACGCATGGGAGAAATTCTTCTTCTTGGGGGAAGGGTTGAGTGATTTGAAGTGAATGGAAAATTGGTACAAGTCGTTGAAGTAGTACAACATCCAATTCCGGATAGACGATGATCCATTTCCCAATCTCAATTTCTCACCTCAGATAAGCGTCTGTTGTTTGGGAAAATAAAAGGAGAGGAATGGAAAATATCTTCCTTTGTCACGCCATACAATGGTTTTCGTACACACACTCAAAAATTTGACAAAAAAAGCCGTTCCGCTGCCGGGACTCCCATATGGGAGCTGAAACCATTCACTTTTGGTAATAAAGTGGCTACAGCGGATATTTGACTCTTTAAGCCAATTATATGTATATAAATATTTTATATACTAAATTTGATATAAATAGTTTATTTAACTATAATATATATAAATTGACATAAGGAATAAAAAATCAATAGATTTATGGTAATAATTATTCTCTCTGTTTCAAAAAAATATCATGTTTGTGTGTGAGCATTAATTAGAAAAATAAAAAAATTACTTTAACTAAATTAAGCAAAACTATTATATACTCTGTATGCATTAAAAATAATTATTTAAGTCTAAAATAATCTCTAAACACTTATTTCAAAATACCAAACTAACCTCTTAAATCAAATAATTTTTCACTCAAAAAATTAAGCAGAACGGTTCTATACTCTTTTTCATTTTCTAAAATCTATTTATGAATTATAGTCACATTTATAATGTACCAGATGTGTGTTTAAAGAAATTTTTTGAAATGCTGGCGTTGACAGACATACAACTCAATGAACCCATACATGTTTTCATAATTTTGAAATATATATTTTTAAAATCATAATATTATAAATTGATAAAAAATTAATTATATATATATAAAAATATAGTTTATTATTATTTTTTTTACCATATTATACAATTTATACTATACTCGTATGTTATATTTTTAAAAGACAAAAAAAAAAAAAAAAAAAATAGAAAAAGATTTCCTCTCTACCTATAAGGAAGGGGAAAAAACAAAAAATTCATTTCCACTCGTGTACATCATTTAACTGTTGCAACAACTCATTAGGGTTTTGCAGAGCAACAGAGAGGTCTGGACACAATGACTGTGTTGAGCTCCAAGCAGATATTGCAGGACAATAAGACTACCGACCCAGACGCCATTACAGCTCTTGCACTCAACCACAAAGCTCTTTCTGATGTACGCTCTCAATTTGTTCTATATCCATCTCTAATACCCTACTATTTGTTCTATTAAAACTTCGAATCTTCATCATTGTGCTCTCATGGATTCAATCAATTTAATCTTATTAGGTTTCATGCTTGAGCGAATTCAAGAACTTAGAGAGACTCGACCTGCGCTTCAACAATTTATCTTCACTCGAGGTAGTCTAATGCTTTTGCAATTGAACAGTGAAATGTCAGTTTCTGAAATCGATTAATTTGAGGTTTAATTTTGGTTTCTTAATTGTTAACTCAGGGTCTGAGGTCATGTGTCAATTTGAAGTGGGTATCAGTTGTGCAGAACAAGCTTCAAAGCTTGAAAGGAGTCGAAGGACTTACTAAACTCACTGTAAGTTAATCACACAGTTTCTACATTTCCCTTTCAGCTTGCCTAGGCTGTTGAAGCTGAAGAGATGACTAGCCTTGAGTGATACACACCACAAATATATGTACTCTCCACAAATTTTGCTGGGTTTTGACATGTTTTGGATGTCAGTGAATTTTTTACCAATATAAGTCGATCATTTTTATTTTCATTTTAGCACTGAGCATCATTTTCTTTGTATTACCAGACATACAGGTTCATTTGGAGTTCAGATTTTAATTTATGGTAAATTAAGGATCAGTGGATTCGGGTTTGTCTCCTTTTGTTTTACATTTGATATGTCCTGCTGCAAACATAAGGACAGTGGATGATTTAGTGAATTTATTTGATAGGTATCATGGCATCGGGTGGATGGACCCGTCGCCTAATATAATACCTACACTAAGTAAACAAGACTAAGTTCAATTAATTGAATAATCCCCACATATATAAGAAAATTACAATCTTAATTCTTATCAATCCCTTCGATTCTTATCAGGAATGCCTTACAACATGTTTAAATATAATGACTGGCTGATGTCGATTTTGATAGTATTTCTTGTTAAGGCAGTTTTAATCTTTTAGAACATTTGCAATGTTGGTGGACCGTGCTTGATTGAGCCAGACTGCTTATTTTAATGATTTAATTCTTAAATTGTTGAAACTAGATTGGTTTTCCAAATTTCGCTTTGTTCAACCTCTGCATACCAGGTACTGAATGCTGGAAAAAATAAGCTTAGATCAATGGAAGAGGTCAGGTTGCTTTTGAACCTAAGTTCAATTAATTGAATAATCCCCACATATATAAGAAAATTACAATCTTAATTCTTATCAATCCCATCGATTCTTATCAGGAATGCCTTACAACATGTTTAAATATAATGACTGGCTGCTGTCGATTTTGATAGTATTTCTTGTTAAGGCAGTTTTAATCTTTTAGAACGTTTGCAATGTTGGTGGACCGTGCTTGATTGAGCCAGACTGCTTATTTTAATGATTTAATTCTTAAATTGTTGAAACTAGATTGGTTTTCCAAATTTCGCTTTGTTCAACCTCTGCATACCAGGTACTGAATGCTGGAAAAAATAAGCTTAGATCAATGGAAGAGGTCAGGTCGCTTGTGAACCTGCGTGCTCTGATTTTGAATGGTAAGGTTCATAATCTAACCAACTGTATTGCCTTCCGAGTTTTTCATAATTTAACTAACTGAATTGATCCCTCCTTCCCTGCTGCAGACAATGAGATTGTTTCCATTTGCAGGCTTGATAATATGAAAGAATTAAACACTCTCGGTATGAGTTCCCAGTTCTCAGTTTCTCATATCATGTGCGGATGATGTTCTTGTCCAATGCTCTGTGTTGTGCAATATATTATTTAATCTCGTTGCTTCCATTGGACTTCCCTATCAAATTCTTTACAACAGCCACCATTGATCAACTTTTTGACAATCTGTAGTATAGTATATGTAAATGAACTGTTGGATATATTCAGTTGCAGATATTTCTGTTACATGCTGTTATAGCGATCTATTATTTGTTTCTTCAAAAAAGTCTTAACAAGTTCTTTTCGAATCAAGCAGGCATTCATCTAAACTGTTGAATTTTGATTTAAGTTTTTTTTTCTTTCCTCCACCCCCCCCCCCCCCCCCCCCCCCTTCCCTTTCTCATATTTAATTGAAAAACTTAAAATAAATCATCAAATTGCAGAGGCTCCTAATAATTTACTTGTAAACAATAGCATACACTATATCTGCCATCATTAAATTTATAGTGCAAGATCCAGCTTCATTTCAAGTCGCTGGTCCTAAATCCTCAGACCAATTGGACATCAACATGATATATATGCATGTCGTATGCACCCCTGGAGGAATATTTGATGTGTTGTCTGGGACAACTCTGGCAAAAGTATAAATATGGAACTAATTTTTATCACGATAGTTTGAGTTGTTTTTAACTCGCTGATAGTTTTGAACAATTCTCTTTCTCAAGTGCTCTTATTTTTTGTCAGTGCTACCTCGAAACAGTAATGTTTGCCTGACGCGTTTCTGAAATGTTTCGAGAATTTACATTGTGTGATAATCATATGGTTATTAGGTAGGTGTACTTGAAACCATACAATGAAAGCATGTCAAGTTTTTAGCATCTATATGTCTTCTTGTGAATAAAATGTTGTTCATGATTTTGATTTGGTAATGAATTTTTACACTTTTGTGAGCATGGTTTTTTAGCCATATAATAATTTGAGTTTCAAATGTGACTTTTGGCTTCTGTTGTTGCTCTACAGTTCTTTCTAGAAATCCAATCCGTGAAATTGGTGAGTCTCTGGCTAAGATGAAATCAATCACAAAGGTAAGCATTTGTTTGCTAAATGACTATCAACAGCAGCAATTTACTGAAAATGTTAGGATTCTTAAAATTTCTCGTGATTCCAGTTATCTCTTTCTAACTGTCAACTTCAATCCATTGACTCTTCACTCAAGTCCTGTGTTGAGTTGAAAGAGCTCCGACTTGCCCATAATGATATCAAGGTATGTGTTCTACGTGTATCTTCATTCTTTATAGGCCAAGCACTATCCAAATGCAAATGAGCTGAATAATTTATTAGCTTCTGCTTTCGCTCTTCACTTTATGGTGTTTTTCGGTTGTTCAAATCTGCGCGTGCGCACACACACACCAAAAAAATAAATGTATAAAGTTCTATTTCTTTCTAGAGTTATTTTGCTCACTAAACTATTCTTTCCTCTCTTTCTTTTAATATCTTAGACTCTCCCTGCTGAATTGGCTCGTAATACAAAAGTTCAGAATTTGGACTTGGGAAATAATTTGATCACAAGTTGGTCAGATCTGAAGGTTAGCCATTTTTTTGCAATAATTTTTTATCTATACTCATTTTTGCCTATGGTTGTTTGAAAATGTTTGTTTTTGTGTCTCTTGATTGTTTGCTGGTAGGTGATTTCTTCATTAGTTAACCTGAAAAATCTAAATCTGCAAGGGAATCCTGTTGCCGAAAAAGATAAGTTAGCCAAGAAGGTGATAGTTCTTTTCACATATTTTCATCTGATTTCTATTTTTCAATTCGAGCTTTTGCACTCTTAAATGATCATTCTGGAAACAATGTTCCTACAGATAAAAAAAATGGTGCCGAACTTACAGATTTTCAATGCCAGACCGATAAATCAAAACATGAAGAATGAGAAAGGTGATAGAGTCGATGATTCTTCACTTAATATGGATCTTGACAAGAAGGAATTGAAGCATAAGAAACAGAAAAGAAAGGAACTCTTTGAGGGAAAAGATCCTGACCACAAGGGCAAAAGTGCCATTACTGAGAAGGAATTAAAGAAGAAGGTGAAGGAGGTGCCACAAAAGGAAGCCAATGATATTGATGAGGAAGAAACTCCAGTTACAGATTCTGATATGAAGGAATTGAAGCGCAAGAAGCAGAAAACAAATGTCCTCCCGAAAGATAAAGCTTCGGATCCTAAGGAGGTTAGTGTTACGAATGACAATAAAATAAAAAGGAAATCAAAAAAGGTGCAACAATATGAAGCTAATGTCATTGACGATGGAGAAACTCCGTTTACGGATCTTTTTGCTGCTGATACCACTGAAAATGTCCAAAGAAGTGGCGCAAACAAGACAGATGATAAAGCTATTCAGGATGTCAATATGGTTGATGGCTTAGTGACCTTCCCTGTAAAGAGAAAGAAAATCAAAAGCCGGGGCAAGGGTCATTCTGCTCTCCAGTTGCTGTCTCCAGCTGCTGAAGTTGGATTAGGTGGACCATCAACATGGGATGATTAGTAAATTATTCTCGTTGGAGGCAATTGATTGCTGTGTGTATGGCTGGGCCTCTTTGGCACATTTTAAGTTGAAGGTTGGTAACTGTTGTTTTGGGACCTTTTCGCATAGCTTGCCTTCTTGATTAGGCTGCTTCAGTGAGACACCTCAAATTCTCGCTGTGATTGAAACCCATATAATGGTAGTAGAGTGTTTGTATGGATGGGGCAGGGCAGTCTGTGGTTTTGTTCGTTATCCTTCGACCGGAAAATGCAGACTGAGAGTGCAAGTTGATTTTCATTCAAGGAGTGCAGAAGCCCCCATCTGAACTCTTCTTTTTCCAAGGATTCAATTGCTTTAAAAAAAAACTTATGGCAAACAAAAGAAGAGGAAATTTTGATTTATACTGTTGACTAGAAAGGGATGAATCTTTTTTCTACTGTGACTGGTTTGGTTAAATTGTTCTTATATTTCAGTATCTAGATGGTGGATTGTTGTGCATATTTAGAGTGTATTTTTGTTATGCATTAATAAAATCATTTTGAAGTTCTGGCAGAGAATTGAAACTTTTTCAAGGGGTATAAAAATTTCCTATTTATTTGTTAGAAGAATTCGTTCAGAAAATGAATTTATTAAAAAGAAAAAGAGATGCATATAGAATTTCCACTGGAATTTTGAATATTGCATTTGAGTAAAATCCGCTGCACTGTGACCCCCAACTTAAAAATATTTTTTAAACCAAAAAAATATGGTCTTGAATTTATTTTTTTTCCTAGTTAGGATTCACACACACTGCCTCCATTGAGGTTCGAACTTCTGACTGTTGGTTCTTGAAATTTTTCTATTTGATGCAAAAATTTATTCATTACTATGATTTATCAGAAAGGAAATGAAAAACAAGAATGGAAAATAAAATTTTTTTTAAAAAAAAACGGTACTAACATATCTTGTATTTTTTAATCCCTAATTTTGTAAATTTTTTATTTTTTTATTGCATATTTTTCAAGGGCAAGCTTTAACGCTTTCTACTATTCTGTATTAGTTATATGAAGATTCAAACCAAAAGCTAATTTTGGATAATTTTGGATCAGGAGGGTAAAAGATCATATAATCTCATTAATACTACGGAAGGATGACTTTCTGACAAGGTGGTTGCATTATGATCTCAAAGTTATGAAATAATTGGGTGGCTCGCGAATCTCGAGAACATTACCATTCCCAATTCTGTGACTTCACAAATTCATATGACACCGCTCCCATTGTTCCTTGGGTTCAGAAATTCTGGGTTGATGATGTAAAGCCATGAAGATACCGTCTTTATCAGTGTCCCCTTCCTCATGCATGGATGTCATACCCTCCCAATTTTGAGGAGTTCTTGATCAGAGAGGCCAATAACTCCGTTGAATGTACCAACATTGTTTACATATACTATATGATAATACCGATATCAAATGTAATCAATTTTGGAACTTGTTCTCTTTATTTTTCTATTACATTTCTTGATTGGTTTTTGGGATTTGTTCACTTCAATTATTTGAGCATGACCTCGACAATAGTGTGAAAGCAAACCTGCAACTACACGGAATGGTCCATTAGGCCATGCCATTATCACACACATGGCCCATATGTCAACGTAATCTGAGTAACGTGTTAGTGATTTAACAAAACAAAAATCGTGTTTAGTGATTTTAATTTTTGTTCTATTATTTTTGGTCGGTTGTTGTCTCCACATTTAAATAATTGCAATTTCCCAAAAAAACATTAAAAAAATTGCAAATTCCTGCTTTCAACAGTTATAATCTTTTACGGAGTAAGTTACATTCGTAATTTATTAATTGTTGCATTGAGGGATTTATAAAAGATTTAATTGACTTTTTACAAATCTAAAAAAATGTTTCAATCTAATGTTAATAATTAGAATGTATGATCCTTGTCGTGGAGGGCTCAACCAAACCACTGATGAATAGTTGGAGATTGATTTGTTTAAAGTCAACAAGGACGGACCCCATGGTATACTCGGTGGGCAATTGCCCTTTCTGAAATTTTGTTTTCATTGTTATGCTATACTATTTTTGTCATTTTAATATTTACACTTATAAAATATTACCATTGTCCTACTAAAATTATTGAAAAAATTCATTATTGCTCACCCTCAATTGAGTTTACGAGTTGGTCGAGATCTTGTAAGTTGTAACTACATCACTATGGCTTTAACAAGAAAAGTATGTAGCATATTACCTTCTAACAAGAAAAAAAGAAAAAGAAAAAAGAAAGGCTGAAAAAAACAAAAAAATAAAGGAAAATAGAAAGGGTATGTTGCATATTATAAGTAAAATTCTTTTTCTTCTTGGACTTTTTAATATGCTCGATTACTGCCTCATCAATCTTGATTCCCACAAGAAAAGAAGAATATTTATATACTTCAAGTATGATTCTCCTTTTCACCATCGAATGACACCTCTTCATTTTGACTTCAAAATATAAGAAAAGAAAAAAATAATCATAAAAATTTTAAATTCAAAACGAAAATATGTCAGTGCAACATTGGTGACGAGAAGAAGAATCCTAGGCTAGTATCATTTGAGAGGAAAACAATTTTCGTATTAGATATTTAAGAAAAGTTGTATCATAGCGCAAGTAAAATATAAAATGGATATATTCGTACGGACCATCCTAAAAACATCAAATACTCAATCTTTATCTCTATTTCTATGGTAATCATATCATGCTATAGCATTGAGTTTGTTCCGTTAAAGTTAAATTGGGCCAAGGTGGTGCTTCGTAAAATTAAAAATTAAGTACTGAAAATTTTAAGTATTAAATTATAAGTGTTGAAGCTTTTAAGTGATAATTAAAAAATAATTATTTTTTATATCTTTTTAAAATTTTAGCATTCATATTGAGTAATAAGTGATATTTCTGTCACTTAAAATTTAATCTCATTTTAAGTGACGCTTACTATTTTCAGTAATATTTAAATTACGCTATCAAATCACTTAATTAGATAAGCGTTTAATCTATTCAGAATTAACACTGAATTGAATTATCAAACAACACTTCTAATCAAAGAACTATTGAGCACAGTATGAATTTGAAAGATGCTACAATATATATATATATATATATATATATATATATATATATATTCTCCCACCTCTGCCCATTGTCGCTCCTTTACTCTTCTAACCCATCAAGAAACAAAAGGCTACATGTAAGGTTTAGCTAAATTAAATGTAAATAAAAGTGTTTTAGGTTCTGTTTGATAAAATTGAAAATTAAGCATTGAAAAATTCAAGTACTGAATTTTAAGTGCTGAAACTTCAAGCGTTGAATGTATTAATTTAAAAATCTGTTTGATAACGTTTTAATTTTAAGCGCTGAATTCATTAAGATTGTTTGTTATATACAAAATCTGAAGTTTAAAAGTTATACATATTACATTTTTGCCCTCAATATCTGATACTCATAACAGTTTTATATTTATAACACAAAAATATTAATAAAACAACCACATTCACTCAATGAAATATATCAATTCAACAATGAATATTAATGTAAAATCTAATCATAAAAAAATATAAATTCAAACTTAAATAATTAACATTATTCAAGTAGTACTCATTAAAAATGTGAATATCTAAAAAATGTTACATTAAACTAAACATATAAAATTTTAAATTCGAGAACTAAACAAGTCATTTGCAATTTGGTTACGCAAATTAACATTAAAAATTTGATCGGATTGTCTTTTTGTGGTGTGAATTTCAGAGGATGTCAAATTTTCAATAGTAATAGGTGGAGTCTCAAATCGCAAATTCTCAGTCTCATACTGTTCAAAAAGGTTATCCGTGACCATAGTTTTCGAAGGTAATTGTGAATAGCTGCACAAGCAATAAAAATATTCCTCTGCATTTCAAATGTATAAGGTGCCATCTTTTTCAAGATTAGGAAACAGACATTTAATACTCCAAATGCTCGTTCAATCACATTCTTTAGCTTGACATGTGCATGGTTAAATAGCTCTTCTTTTGTTATAGGGTATTGAAAAGAGTGTTAAAATAGTACGTGAAAGACATTTCTTCTCTGAGAATAGAATTGTATTATATAAATAATTACATAATATTTATGTAGGGTATAAAAAATGGTGTTAAAAATATTAAAAAAAGTACGTGAAATTGAATAAAAATCTATTATATAAATAATTATTTTTAATAGTGAATCAATATGAATGGTAACCAAAAGGCTATATTCGTGTTTAAAATATATTAGGTAGTATTATGTTTTTTTTTTTTTTTTTTTTTTGAAATTTGTTGTATGTAATTAATTTTCGTTAACAACAACAAGCAACCAAATACATATGAATCAATTTAAATATAACCAAAAGGCTATCTGTTGTGTTTAAAATATTGTAGGTAAAATTGTATTTTTCACGATTTTTTTTTTTTTTTTTCCTAGTTGGGACTCACACACACTGCCTCTACTGAGGTTCAAACCCTTGACCTCCCTTTGGAAAATAGGAGCCTTGTACCGCTAGACCACAGGTCTGTTGGTCACGAATTTGTTTTATCATGTAAAAGTAACAAAATAATAATAATAAATTACAACCAACGAAATATATATTATTTTCAGACGCAGAGAGAAATCATAGAGAGAAGTCTAAAGAAATTGTAGAGAGGCCCTAGAGAAATAGCACAAAGAAACTCTAAAAGAGATAACGCGATTATATAAGGGTAGAGTAGTCATTAAAAAGTTATTTTTTAAACCCAACCACTTACCATTTTCTACGATAAGCGATAAGTAACATTCCTCACACTTAAAATTTTGGCCTATTTTAAACGGTACTTATTATGTTAAGCGGTATCCTAAAATTTTATCAAATAAACTTATTTTTAAAAATCATTTATCGTGTTCTGCATTCATCGGCTAGGTGCTTTCACAAAGTTACCACGAGCTCACTCCCACATTCATTGAATCAAGTGTGTAACATTGGACACGAATCTCACAAAGTTACCATGAACTCACTCCCACATTCATTGAATCGAGTGTGTAACATTGGGCACGAATCTATGATGGCTTAGTGGCACTGATTTTTTTTCTTTTTGCTATTTTATTCACTAATTTTACTTTTTGAAAATTATATACTAAAAAAATTTGAGTTTGCCCCACTGAAATTAGAGAAAAACTTCATTATTGTCTCCTACAATATATACATATATATATATTTGTTAAAAGTTGCCTCCTCTCACATACTTTTCTAGGCTCGTCCCTGATCACACAACACACTTGATCAGTAAGAGCATCCGCAATGGGCTCGCGGGAGCCCAACGAGTAAATGGCCTAAATAGGCCATAATAGACTCGTTTAATGTGAGCGGGCCCATAGGCGCTCACGAGCCTGCTTACCTGCCTGCGATCGCAAATTTTTTTTTTTCAAAAATCT